ATCACACCAGAGACAGTGGGAACCTGACACCATTACTGGCACCTCCCCGTACCACCATCACACCAGAGACCGCGGCCACATGGCACCCATTCCTGGCACCCCCCCCCCCCCCGTACCACCATCACACCAGAGACCACGGCCACATGGCACCCATTCCTGGCACCCCCCCCCGTACCACCATCACACCAGAGACAGCGGCCACATGGCACCCATTCCTGGCACCCTGGCCCCCCCCCCGTACCACCATCACACCAGAGACAGCGGCCACATGGCACCCATTCCTGGCACCTCCCCCCGTACCACCCCCCCCGCGTACCACCATCACACCAGAGACCGCGGCCACATGGCACCCATTCCTGGCACCCCCCCCCTTACCACCATCACACCAGAGACAGCGGCCACATGGCACCCATTCCTGGCACCCCCCCCCCCGTACCACCATCACACCAGAGACAGCGGCCACATGGCACCCATTCCTGGCACCCCCCCCCGTACCACCATCACACCCAGAGACCGCGGCCACATGGCACCCCATTCCTGGCACCCCCCCCCCCCCACCATCACACCACCTGAGACACGGCCACATGGCACCCATTCCTGGCACCCCCCCCGTACACCACCACACAGACAGCGGCCACATGGCACCCATTCCTGGCACCCACCTCCCCGTACCACCATCACACCAGAGACAGCGGCCACATGGCACCCATTCCTGGCACCCCCCCCCCCTGTACCACCATCACACCAGAGACCGCGGCCACATGGCACCCATTCCTGGCACCCCCCCGTACCCCCGTACCACCATCACACCAGACAGCGGCCACATGGCACCCATTCCTGGCACCCCCCCCCCCCCCCCCCTGTACCACCATCACACCAGAGACAGCGGCCACATGGCACCCATTCCTGGCACCTCCCCGTACCACCATCACCCCGTACCCACCATCACACCAGAGACAGCGGCCACATGGCACCCATTCCTGGCACCCCCCCCCCCCACCATCACACCAGAGACAGCGGCCACATGGCACCCATTCCTGGCACCTATCCCCCCACCCCCCCCTGTACCACCCCATCACACCAGAGACAGTCGGGTACCAAATGGGCTGTAGCGGCCACATGGCACCATTCCTGGCACCCCCCCCCTGTACCACCATCACACCAGAGACAGCGGCCACATCTTTGTAGCAACCCATAGCTCCTGGGGTTGGGTGTTTTGGTACCCCCCCGTACCACCATCACACATTCAGAGGGTGTCTTTGCCCCCGTAGCCCTCATGTTTGGGTGTCAGCCCATGTTGGGTGTCTTCCTGGCACCCCCCCCCCCCCTGTCTTTGTCCCCCTGACACCCATTACTGGCACCTCCCCGTACCACCATCACACCAGAGACCGCGGCCACATGGCACCCATTCCTGGCACCCCCCCCCCCCCCGTACCACCATCACACCAGAGACAGAGGGCCACATGGCACCCACATTCCTGGCACCCCCCCGTACCACCATCACACCAGAGACAGCGGCCACATGGCACCCATTCCTGGCACCTCCCCCGTACCACCATCACACCAGAGACCTCTCACCCATATGTACATCAAATCTGCCTATTCTTAATACATCTAGTGAATGGGGGGGAGGGGTACTTTTTTCAAAGTTTGGTGCTGAATTTGGCACATTTTATTCCCCAATTGTTTTTCCTGAGTCTTTATAGGGTAGACGTGCGGTGCTCGGCGTCTTTGTTCTGTTTTGTGTTGGGTGTCTTTGTAGCTCTCGGTGTTGGGTGTCTTTGTAGCTCTCGGTGTTGGGTGTCTTTGTAGCCCTCATTGTTGGATGTCTTTGTAGCCCTCGGTGTTGGGTGTCTTTGTAGCCCCTGTGTTGGGTGTCTTTGTAGCCCTCGGTGTTGGGTGTCTTTGTAGCCCTCGGTGTTGGGTGTCTTTGTTGCTCTCGGTGTTGGGTGTCTTTGTTGCTCTCGGTGTTGGGTGTCTTTGTTGCTCTCGGTGTTGGGTGTCTTTGTTGCTCTCGGTGTGTGGGTGTCTTTGTTGCTCTCGGTGTTGGGTGTCTTTGTTGCTCTCGGTGTTGGGTGTCTTTGTTGCTCTCGGTGTTGGGTGTTGGGTGTGTCTTTGTTTGCTCTCGGTGTTGGGTGTCTTTGTTGCTCTCGGTGTTGGGTGTCTTTGTTGCTCTCGGTGTTGGGTGTCTTTGTTGCTCTCGGTGTTGGGTGTCTTTGTTGCTCTCGGGTTGGGTGTCTTTGTAGCTCTCGGTGTTGGGTGTCTTTGTTGCCCTTGGTGTTGGGTGTCTTTGTAGCCCTTGGGGTTGGGTGTCTTTGTAGCCCTTGGGGTTGGGTGTCTTTGTAGCTCTCTCGGTGTTGGGTGTCTTTGTAGCCCTTGGGGTTGGGTGTCTTTGTAGCCCTTGGGGTTCTTTGTAGCCCTTGGTTGGGTGTCTTTGTAGCCCTCGGGGTTGGGTGTCTTTGTAGCCCTCGGGGTTGGGTGTCTTTGTAGCCCTCGGGGTTGGGTGTCTTTGTAGCCCTCGGGGTTGGGTGTCTTTGTAGCCCTCGGGGTTGGGTGTCTTTGTAGCCCTCGGGTTGGGTGTCTTTGTAGCCCTCGGTGTTGGGTGTCTTTGTAGCCCTCGGTGTTGGGTGTCTTTGTAGCCCTCGGTGTTGGGTGTCTTTGTAGCCCTCGGTGTTGGGTGTCTTTGTAGCCCTCGAGGTTGGGTGTCTTTGTAGCCCTCGGTGTTGGGTGTCTTTGTAGCCCTCGGGGTTGGGTGTCTTTGTAGCCCTCGGGGTTGGGTGTCTTTGTAGCTCTCGGTGTTGGGTGTCTTTGTAGCTCTCGGTGTTGGGTGTCTTTGTAGCTCTCGGTGTTGGGTGTCTTTGTAGCCCTCGGTGTTGGGTGTCTTTGTAGCCCTCGGTGTTGGGTGTCTTTGTAGCCCTCGGTGTTGGGTGTCTTTGTAGCCCTCGGTGTTGGGTGTCTTTGTAGCCCTCGGTGTTGGGTGTCTTTGTTGCCCTCGGTGTTGGGTGTCTTTGTAGCCCTCGGTGTTGGGTGTCTTTGTAGCCCTCGGTGTTGGGTGTCTTTGTAGCCCTCGGTGTTGGGTGTCTTTGTAGCCCTCGGTGTTGGGTGTCTTTGTAGCCCTCGGTGTTGGGTGTCTTTGTAGCCCTCGGTGTTGGGTGTCTTTGTTGCCCTCGGGTTGGGTGTCTTTGTAGCTCTCGGTGTTGGGTGAGGTCATACATTCTCTTCCAATCCTCTCCGGCTTCCAGTTCCTCACCGACCTCTCTGTTGAACACATTACGTCTGGTTGTATCATTTGGTGGCGCAGTCCCAGCGGTTGGCGCAGATGTGGGGCTCGCTGTACGCCCTGCTGGTGTCAGATGACAGAAACATTCATCCGATAAAACGTTCCATAAACCACAGGAGCACCCCTGGCCTCGGTGAGCAGGAAACCCCATCAAGAAATGCACACATTAATGTCTGTGGCTGCTGACTTGGCAGCAGAAGGGGATTCCGCTCATCCGCCGTGGTGGAGTCCCGTTACATAGATGACATCATTGGCCGCACAGCCAGGCGACCCCGGATGACTCTCCTCTGAGCTGAACGTTGCACCCCTCCGCTGTCATCTCTGAACTTCACAAACCTTTCCTTCTCTTCCAGACCTACGCCAGGTTCTCTGGAGCTCCTCTGAAGGTCCACAAGCTGTCCAACCCCTGGAGGAGCCCATCAGGTGAGCCTCACTCCACCCATAATGTTCCGTCTGGTCCTCCATACATCTGCTGACACCACTTTGCCTCCTCCCCAGGTCAGCTGCCGGCCCTGAAGACCCCAAATGACGGCGTCCTCATCCAGCCCGCTAAAATTATTACCCACCTCAGGAAGCAGGTGAGACAGGGGTCACGTGGGGCCCAGCGCGCGAGGTTACTGTATATCCTGCAGGCTTGTCAAGCTGGTCCTCAGGCCTCAGTGGTCTGCAGGTTCCTCCTAGGAGGGCTGATTTGTTAAAGCCTGAGGATGGGTTTGGGAATGTCTGGTGTTGGGACAAACCTGGTGCCCGTGATCTAGTTTCTGGGTTGAGGTTTTGAAGGACAGGCTCTGGAAGGATCTGATTAGAGGTCACATGACAGGACAGGCTCTGGAAGGATCTGATTAGAGGTCACATGACAGGACGGGCTCTGGATGGATCTGATTAGAGGTCACATGACAAGGATGGGCTCTGGAAGGATCTAGTTAGAGGTCACATGACAGGACAGGCTCTGGAAGGATCTGGTTAGAGGTCACATGACAGGACGGGCTCTGGAAGGATCTGGTTAGAGGATCACATCACATGACAGGACGGGCTCTGGAAGGATCTGATTGGAGGTCACATGACAGGACGGGCTCTGGAAGGATCTGATTGGAGGTCACATGACAGGACGGGCTCTGGATGGATCTGGTTAGAGGTCACATGACAGGACAGGCTCTGGAAGGATCTGGTTAGAGGTCACATGACAGGACGGGCTCTGGAAGGATCTGATTAGAGGTCACATGACAGGACGGGCTCTGGATGGATCTGGTTAGAGAGTCACATGACAGGACAGGCTCTGGAAGGATCTGATTAGAGGTCACATGACAGGACAGGCTCTGGAAGTATCCTGGTTGTGATAAATCTCCATGTTTGTCTGCAGAAGTACAACGCGGATTACGATTTGTCGGCCACGCAGGGGGCGGACACCTTGGCCTTCATCTCGCTGCTGGAGGAGAAGCTGCTGCCGGCTCTGGTGAGTGTGACTAATGGCGGAGTGGGCGGGGTTAGACCTGCAATCCCTCCTCCCCTCCGCATAATTCTCATATCCCATTGGAGGAGACGGCGGTTATGTTCCGGAGTCCGTTACCTAGGAGACTGCAAGCCCCTCCCCTCAGTCCGGCGTTTTGTGTCTCTTCAGATTCACTCCTTCTGGGTGGACGCCAAGAACTACGTGGAGCACACCCGCCGGTGGTACGCCGAGACCATTCCCTTCCCCCTCAACTTCTTCATCCCCAACCGGATGCACAAGAGGTACCTGGAGCGCTCCAGCTGATCCGCGGAGAGAGCTGGCGGGAGGACGATGAGGTGCTGGAGAAACAGGTGAGGGGCCAGTGGCAGCGAGGGTCCCTGATTGGATGCTCAGGATTTGGAGGAGACCCCTCCTACATCAGATCTCTCTATATATGGGGGAGGGGCCAGTGGCAGCGAGGGTCCCTGATTGGATGCTCAGGATTCGGAGGAGACCCTTCCTACATCAGATCTCTCTGTATATGGGGGAGGGGCCAGTGGCAGCGAGGGTCCGTGATTGGATGCTCAGGAGTTGGAAGACCCCTCCTACATTAGATCTCTATATGGGGGAGGGGCCAGTGGCAGCGAGGGTCCCTGATTGGATGCTCAGGAGTCAGGGGAGACCCCTCCTACATCAGATCTCTCTGTATGTGGGGGAGGGGCCAGTGGCAGCGAGGGTCCCTGATTGGATGCTCAGGAGTCAGGGGAGACCCCTCCTACATCAGATCTCTGTATATGGGGGAGGGGCCAGTGGCAGCAAGGGTTCCTGATTGGATGCTCAGGAGTCAGGGGAGGGGCCAGTGGCAGCGAGGGTTCCTGATTGGATGCTCAGGAGTCAGGGGAGGGGCCAGTGGCAGCAAGGATCCGTGATTGGATGCTCAGGAGTCAGGGGAGGGGCCAGGGGCAGCGAGGGGCCATGATTGGATGCTCAGGAGTCAGTGGAGGCCCCTCCTACATCAGATCTTTGTATATGGGGGAGGGGCCAGTGGCAACGAGGGTCCGTGATTGGAAGCTCAGGAGTCGGGAGGGGGCCAGTGGCAGCGAGGGTCCGTGATTGGATGCTCAGGAGTTAGGGGAGGGGCCAGGGGCAGCGAGGGGCCATGATTGGATGCTCAGGAGTCAGGGGGAGGGGCCAGGGGCAGCGAGGGTCCATGATTGGAAGCTCAGGAGTCAGGGGAGGGGCCAGTGGCAGCGAGGGTCCATGATTGGAAGCTCAGGAGTCAGGGGAGGGGCCAGTGGCAGCGAGGGTCCGTGATTAGATGCTCAGGAGTCAGGGGAGGGGCCAGTGGCAGCGAGGGTCCGTGATTGGATGCTCAGGAGTTAGGGGAGGGGCCAGGGGCAGTGAGGGGCCATGATTGGATGCTCAGGAGTCAGGGGAGGGGCCAGTGGCAGCGAGGGTCCGTGATTGGATGCTCAGGAGTTAGGGGAGGGGCCAGGGGCAGCGAGGGGCCATGATTGGATGCTCAGGTGTCAGGGGAGGGGGCCAGGGGCAGCGAGGGTCTGTGATTGGAGTCAGATCTCTCTGTATATGGGGGATTCTCCCACTTGCTGAGTATCCATCCCGGGGCCCCCGTTGCCATGATGAAGCGGGGGATGGGGAGAATGCAGCGCTGGGAGTGAGACTCTGACTGATAATGGATTGCGCCCCCACAGCTGTACTCCGACGCCCAGGAATGTCTCAGCCTTCTGTCGCAGCGTCTGGGAACTCAGAAATTCTACTTCGGGGACTGGTAAGTACATTGGGGGAGGGGCTCTTGGGGTGGTTTGGTAGTGGGGGAGGGGGCACTTGGGGGGGTTTGGTAGTGGGGGGGGGGCACTTGGGGGGTTTGGTTGTGGGGGAGGGGGCACTTGGGGTGGTTTGGTAGTGGGGGAGGGGGCACTTGGGGGGGTTTGGTAGTGGGGGAGGGGGCTCTTGGGGGGGTTTGGTAGTGGGGGAGGGGGCTCTTGGGGGGGTTTGGTAGTGGGGGAGGGGCTCTTGGGGGGTTTGGTAGTGGGGGGGTTTGGTAGTGGGGGAGGGGGGGGGTACTTGGGGGGGGGGGTTGTGGGGGAGGGGGGGGGGTTGTTTGGCGCTTGTGGGGGTTGTAGTGGGGGAGGGGGGGCTTTTGGGGTGGTTTGGTAGTGGGGGAGGGGCGCTTGGGTGGGGGGGTTTGGTAGTGGGGGAGGGGGCTCTTGGGGTGGTTTGGGTAGTGGGGGAGGGGCTCTTGGGGTGGTTTGGGGGTGGTTTGGTAGTGGGGGAGGGGGCTCTTGGGGTGGTTTGGTAGTGGGGGAGGGGGCTCTTGGGGGTGGTTTGGTAGTGGGGGAGGGGGCTCTTGGGGTGGTTTGGTTGTGGGGGAGGGGCTCTTGGGGTGGTTTGGGGTGGGTGGTAGTGGGGGGAGGGGGGCTCTTGGGGTGGTTTGGTTGTGGGGGAGGGGCTTTTGGGGTGGGGGTGTTTGGTAGTGGGGGAGGGGGCTCTGGGGTGGTTTGGTAGTGGTGGGAGGGGCCTGGGGGGGGGGGGCTCTTGGGGTGGTTTGGTAGTGGGGGGGGGGGCTCTTGGGGGTGGTTTGGTAGTGGGGGAGGGGGCTCTTGGGGTGGTTTGGTAGTGGGGGAGGGGGCTCTTGGGGTGGTTTGGTTGGGGGGGGGGCTCTCTTGGGGTGTTTGGTAGTGGGGGGAGGGGGCTCTTGGGGTGGTTTGGTAGTGGGGGAGGGGGGGGGTTCTTTCGGGGTGGTTTGGTAGTGGGGGGGGGCTCTTGGGGTGGTTTGGTTGTGGGGGGCTCTTGGGGTGGTTTGGTTGTGGGGGGGGGGGCTCTTGGGGTGGTTTGGTTTGTGGGGGGGGGGCTCTTGGGGGGTTTGGTTGTGGGGGAGGGGCGGGGTGGTTTGGTAGTGGGGGAGGGGGTCTTGGGGGAGGGGGCTGGGGTGGTGGGTTGGGGGGAGGGGGCTCTTGGGGTGGTTTGGTAGTGGGGGAGGGGCTCTTGGGGTGGTTTGGTTTGGGGGGGGGGGCTCTTGGGGTGGTTTGGTTGTGGGGGAGGGGGCTCTTGGGGTGGGTTGGCAGTGGGGGAGGGGCTCTTGGGGTGGTTTGGTTGTGGGGGAGGGGGCTCTGGGGTGGTTTGGTTGTGGGGGAGGGGGCTGGGGTGGTTTGGTTGTGGGGGAGGGGCTCTTGGGGTGGTTTGGTAGTGGGGGTAGGGGGCTCTTGGGTGGTTTGGTTGTGGGGGAGGGGGCTCTTGGGGTGGTTTGGTAGTGGGGAGGGGGGCTCTTGGGGGGGGGGTGGTTGGTAGTGGGGGAGGGGGGCTCTTGGGGTGGTTTGGTTGTGGGGGAGGGGGGCTCTTGGGGTGGTTTGGTAGTGGGGGAGGGGGCACTGGGGGAGGGTGGGGGGAGGGGGCTCTTGGGGTGGTTTGGTAGTGGGGGGAGGGGGCTCTTGGGGTGGTTTGGTTGGGGGAGGGGGGGGGTTGGCAGTGGGGGAGGGGGCTCTTGGGGTGGTTTGGGGGGGAGAGGGACTCTTGGTTTGGTTTGGGGGAGGGGGGATCTTGGGGGGTTTGGCTGTGGGGGAGGGGCCTCTTGGGGTGGTTAGTGGCGGTGGGGGAGGGGGGCTCTTGGGGTGGTTTTGGTTGTGGGGGAGGGGGGGCTTTTCGGGTGGTTGGCAGTAGGGGAGGGGGTTGGTGTGGATGGTTTCTTGCACCTCTCTGTATGTGACTCCCATAACTGATCCCGCCCCTGATTTCTCATAGCCCCGCCTCCCTGGACGCACACATCTTCAGCCACCTCGCCCCAATCCTGAACGTCAAACTGCCCAACAACCGCCTCCAGCAGCACCTGAGATCCCTGCCCAACCTGTGCCAGTACTGCACCTCCATCCTCACCATCTACTTCACCCGGGACTGCGGTGAGTACCCTCCTTAAAGGGGAACCCCCCCCAGCCCCTGTGTTTGCTGGATTCAGTGGTTCCACCAGTCACATCATTCTTCTCTGCGTCCCCAGAGACCCTCCCCCGCATTTCACCAAAGACCCCGACAACCGAGTCTCCAGACCTCGAGGGACGAGCCCCATAAGAGGCGGAACCAGGTCCTGTCGGGTGGCGTTCGGCGTGATGGCGATGATCAGCTACGCTCTGCTCAGCGGAATAATCTCTATACACCGCGCGTCGGGGGGCGGGGCCCTGGAGCCCGCCATCGCCATGGAGGACAATGAGGAGGAGGAAGACTGATTGGACTCTTTATTGGCTGACTGCATTCCGTACCGAATCCCGTGTTTGTACAAAACGAAGCTCCTCCCCCCTCCCCCGTCCATCCCCTCCCCCCTCCCCGTCCATCCATCCCATTCCATGCCCTGATGGGACGGATCCCACTTCTGCACCAGATCCACCAGGATACTGTTATACCCCCTCTCCACCAGGGGGTGCCACTATAGCTGCTGCCACGTAAGTGCCTTTTATCCCGCGTGTCCCCCCCGGTACTTTCCCAGAACTGTGTCCTTGACGTTTTATTCCCCCATCATTCCCTGCGCCTGACTGCCCACCTACCACAGACTGGCCCCGGTGTTCTGGACCCCCCCAGTGTATTAATAAACGGGGGGGCTCCGTCTCCGAGGGTGATATGATTTAGCGTCGTCCAATCGTCGTCAGAGAGGGATGGATTTCCGTCACAATATCTTCCACCTACTAGGAGTCTGTGGCCCTTGGGGGGGGGGGGGGGCCCCCCGAGGTGTTCCCTGTCCTTTTGCTGTATCTGGTCATACATTGTAGATGGAAGCAGCACCCCCCCCCCCCCCAGATATGATTTTTATATCCCAGTTTTGGGGTCAGGTGGAAGGTCAAAAGGAAGCCAGTATGTTTCGGGGGTCCAAAACCACCCCCTTCATCGGGGTATATAATGGGCTGAAGTGAGGGCTGCAGACGAGACCTGTGCCTGACATTGTACTGGGTAATGGGACCGTTGGTCATCGTACCCTCAATTCAGTCCTCATACGTGGCTTCTCGTTTTAGGCCCTGATGGAGGGGATCCCTGAAACGCATTGGACACCTGACCCTATACTGGGAGGACTGTCTCTTGACTGTTGATCTGTTGTGTGGCACTTCAGTCTTCGAGCTACTGTTCTGCAAACTATGGGAGCCCCCCGGGGTGTAAAAGCTGCCAGCCTGGGAACTGGACAACCTTCACCACCAATGAGACAACCTCCACCAACACCGTGATCATACGGAAGGACAGCCCCAATGGGACAACCCTCCACCAACACCGTGATCACACTGAAGGACAGCACCACCAATGGGACAACCTCCACCAACACCGTGATCATACTGAAGGATAGCACCACCAATGGGACAACCTCCACCAACACCGTGATCATACTGAAGGATAGCACCACCAATGGGACAACCTCCACCAACACCGTGATCACACTGAAGGATAGCACCACCAATGGGACAACCTCCACCAACACCGTGATCACACTGAAGGATAGCACCACCAATGGGACAACCTCCACCAACACCGTGATCACACTGAAGGACAGCACCACCAATGAGACAACCTCACCAACACCGTGATCACACTGAAGGATAGCACCACCAATGGGACAACCTCCACCAACACCGTGATCACACTGAAGGATAGCACCACCAATGGGACAACCTCCACAACACCGTGATCATACTGAAGGATAGCACCACCAATGGGACAACCTCCACCAACACCGTGATCATACTGAAGGATAGCACCACCAATGAGGACAACCTCCACCAACACCGTGATCACACTGAAGGATAGCACCACCAATGGGACAACCTCCACCAACACCGTGATCACTGAAGGACAGCACCACCAATGGGACAACCTCCACCAACACCGTGATCATACTGAAGGATAGCACCACCAATGGGACAACCTCCACCAACACCGTGATCACACTGAAGGATAGCACCACCAATGGGACAACCTCCACCAACACCGTGATCATACTGATCACCACTGAAGGACAGCACCACCAATGGGACAACCTCCACCAACACCGTGATCACACTGAAGGATAGCACCACCACAATGGGACAACCTCCACCAACACCGTGGACAACCTCCACCAACACCGTGATCACACTGAAGGATAGCACCACCAATGGGACAACCTCCACCAACACCGTGATCATACTGAAGGACAGCACCACCAATGGGACAACCTCCACCAACACCGGGATCATACTGAAGGATAGCACCACCAATGAGACAACCTCCACCAACACCGGGATCATACTGAAGGACAGCACCACCAATGGGACAACCTCCACCAACACCGTGATCATACTGAAGGATAGCACCACCAATGAGACAACCTCCACCAACACCCGTGATCACACTGAAGGATAGCACCACCAATGAGACAACCTCCACCAACACCGTGATCACACTGAAGGATAGCACCACCAATGGGACAACCTCCACCAACACCGTGATCACGCTGAAGGATAGCACCACCAATGAGACAACCACCACCACACACAAAGGATAGCGTGGGATCCTCCACCAACACCGGGATCTGAAGGATAGCACCACCAATGGGACAACCTCCACCAACACCGTGATCACACTGAAGGATAGCACCACCAATGGGACAACCTCCACCAACACCGTGATCACACTGAAGGATAGCACCACCAATGAGACAACCTCCACCAACACCGTGATCACACTGAAGGATAGCACCACCAATGGGACAACCTCCACCAACACACCATGATCATGCTGAAGGATAGCACCACCAATGGGACAACCTCCACCAACACCGTGATCACACGGAAGGATAGCACCACCAATGGGACAACCTCCACCAACACCGGATCATACTGAAGGATAGCACCACCAATGGGACAACCTCCACCAACACCGTGATCATGCTGAAGGATAGCACCACCAATGGGACAACCTCCACCAACACCGTGATCACACTGAAGGATAGCACCACCAATGGGACAACCTCCACCAACACCGTGATCACACTGAAGGATAGCACCACCAATGGGACAACCTCCACCAACACCGTGATCATACGGAAGGATAGCACCACCAATGGGACAACCTCCACCAACACCGTGATCATACTGAAGGATAGCACCACCAATGAGACAACCCTCCACCAACACCGTGATCATACTGAAGGATAGCACCACCAATGAGACAACCTCCACCAACACCGTGATCACACTGAAGGATAGCACCACCAATGGACAACCTCCACCAACACCGTGATCATACTGAAGGATAGCACCACCAATGGACAACCTCCACCAACACCGTGATCACACTGAAGGATAGCACCACCAATGAGACAACCTCCACCAACACCGTGATCATACTGAAGGATAGCACCACCAATGAGACAACCTCCACCAACACCGTGATCACACGGAAGGATAGCACCACCAATGGGACAACCTCCACCAACACCGTGATCATACTGAAGGATAGCACCACCAATGAGACAACCTCCACCAACACCGTGATCATACGGAAGGATAGCACCACCAATGGGACAACCTCCACCAACACCGTGATCACACTGAAGGATAGCACCACCAATGGGACAACCTCCACCAACACTGTGATCACACTGAAGGATAGCACCACCAATGGGACAACCTCCACCAACACTGGATCATACTGAAGGATAGCACCACCAATAGGACAACCCAGAGTCTAGGATGACCATCACCCTGCTCATACTAATGTATAGCTTTACCAATTGGACAACATCCACCAACACCGTGATTGTACTAAAGGATAGCACCAGCAATGGAGACATCCTAGGGTACAACTGATGGGACACCCCCAGGGTCCAACTCTGGGGTGCAGTACTGTCTATCCTTCTTCCAAATTTTAGGTTCACACTACCATGGGACACCCCTCGGGGTCCAGCGCTACCAATGGGACACCCCCGGGGTCCAGCGCTACCAATGGGACACCCCCGGGGTCCAGCGCTACCAAATGGGACACCCCCGAGGTCCAGCACTGTCTATCCTCTTCCAATGATGAATCTGTGGTGTTTTATGTTCTCGAAAGCTGCAGCATGCCGCAGTATTACTCCTCCTGGATTCATCTTTTTAAATAAAGTCTACAGCAATCCCGTCTGCTGTTTGATTTCTCCTCGAGGGTTTGGCAATGAACGTTGTTGGGGGGATGAAACGTGTATGTTGGTTATAGAGAGGACAATAAAACGTCCTCCATAGAACGTGCCCAGAGATGGACCAGATTCTGGTCACCAGCTTCTCGGATTTCTGTTGGTTCAACATGAATGTGTCTTGTGGCGTTCCTGGAAGCCGCGGAGATAAAGGTTATCACCCGCCATTTCCAGGAATTCCCCCGGGAAGGAGGACCGGCGTCACCAAACAGGAAACGGCATCACCGCCCTGAAGGTGAAGTCCAATCTGCTTACGTCCAGTGGACTGCAGATCTGATTTCTGATTGGCTGGTGCAGCGTTTCCTCACCGACATCACTGGGGTTGGCGGTTGTGTTTGGAATGAAGCAGATCACACAGTTCGTGTTATAAATGAATAATAAATTAATTGTTTATTAGTGATCAGATATCCGCAGATCAGATCCTCCACATACCAGCAGGCTACCTGCACTCCGCACCCCCCCATCCCCCTCCTGAGGACTCCTGTATACGGCTGGAGGACAACGCGGATTACCAAAATACCAACACAATTGATGGCTCTCTGAACTGTCCGTCTGTGGGCAGGCTGGGTGTGCCGAGGTCCATCCATCAATCAACCAGTCTGTTGGATTTCTTGCTTGCCATGACTGCCACCAGCGGTGATCATTGCGTTCTGTCGGCTGGGAAGACTCTCCATGTTCCCTCCCAAAGCAGAATATTATATCTCCCCTGGAGGGAGGCGCTCATTAACATTGACTGTGATAATGGAGGGATCCATGTTCTGTCCTTCCATCTTCCTTGTCTGTCCTTCCCTCCATCTGTCCTTCCTTCCCTCCATCTTCCCTCTGTCCCTTTCTTCCTTCTTCCCTCCATCTGTCTTCTTCCTGTCTGTCCTTTCTTCCTCCATCTGTCCTTCCCTTCCCTCCATCTGTCCTTCTCCGTCTGTCCTTCCTTCCCTCCGTCTGTCCTTCCTTCCCTCCGTCTGTCCTTCCTTCCTCCGTCTGTCCTTCCTTCCTTCCATCTTCCCACCATCTGTCTTCCTCCCGTCTGTCCTTCCTTCCCTCCGTCCTTCCTTCCCTCCGTCTGTCCTTCCTTCCCTCCGTCTGTCCTTCCTTCCTTCCTTCCTTCCCTCCGTCCGTCTGTCCTTCCTTCCTTTCCATCTTCCCACCATTCCTTCCTTCCCTCCGTCTGTCCTTCCTTCCCTCCATCTGTCCTTCCTTCCATCTTCCCACCATCTGTCCTTCCTTCCCACCATCTGTCCTTCCTTCCCACCATCTGTCCTTCCTTCCCACCGTCTGTCCTTCCTTCCCACCGTCTGTCCTTCCTTCCCTCTGTCTGTCCTTCCTTCCCTCCATCTGTCCTTCCTTCCATCCATCTTCCCACCATCTGTCCTTCCTTCCCTCCGTCTGTCCTTCCTTCCTTCCATCTTCCCACCATCTGTCCATCCTTCCCTCCGTCTGTCCTTCCTTCCTTCCATCTTCCCATCTGTCCTTCCTTCCCACCATCTGTCCTTCCTTCCCACCATCTGTCCTTCCTTCCTTCTGTCCTTCCTTCCCTCCATCTGTCCTTCCTTCCTTCCATCCATCTTCCACCATCTGTCCTTCCTTCCACCATCTGTCCTTCCTTCCCACCATCTGTCCTTCCTTCCCTCCATCTGTCCTTCCTTCTGTCCTTCCCCTTCTGTCCTTCCTTCCATCTTCCCTCCGTCTGTCCTTCCTTCCATCTTCCCTCCGTCTGTCCTTCCTTCCATCCATCTGTCCTTCCTTCCCTCTGTCCTTCCTTCCCTCCGTCTGTCCTTCCTTCCATCCATCTGTCCTTCCTTCCCTCCATCTGTCTTCCTTCCATCCATCTTCCCACCATCTGTCCTTTCCCTCCGTCTGTCCTTCCTTCCCTCCGTCTGTCCTTTTCTTCCATCTCCCTCTGTCCTGTCTGTCCTTTCTTCCCTCTTCCCTTCCCTCCGTCTGTCCTTCCTTCCCTTCCATCTTCCCACCATCTGTCCTTCCTTCCCACCATCTGTCCTTCCTTCCCTCCATCTGTCCTTCCCCCTCCGTCTGTCCTTCCTTCCCTCCATCTCCTTCCTTCCTCATCTTCCCACCATCTCCCCTTCCCTCCATCTCTTCTCCCTCCATCCTGATCCTTTCCATGTCACAGGAAGGTGCGGGATTCCTCCGGTCTCTCTCAGGAGGAGTCCACCACCTGTGTACACACTGCCTGATGTCTTCTTAGTGGGTGTTGGGACGCGGGGTCTGTCCTTTCTTCCCTCTGGGTGTTGGGACTGGCGGTCTCCCCCATGTACGAGTAACATGTTCAACTAAGATGGTGAATGGGGAGAGGTCAGACGGGAGCAGAGAGGAGGGGGAGACTGCGGTGATGGAGTGAATAAGGGTGAATGGGGAGGTCAGACGGGAGCAGAGAGGAGGAAGACTGCGGTGATGGGTGAATAGGGAGAGGTCAGACTGGAGCAGAGAGGAGGAAGACTGCCACGATGGGTGAATGGGGAGAGGTCAGACGGGAGCAGAGAGGAGGAAGACTGCGGTGATGGGGTGAATAGGGGAGAGGTCAGACGGGAGCAGAGAGGAGGAAGACTGCGGAGATGGGGTGAATAGGGAGAGGTCAGACGGGAGCAGAGAGGAGGAAGACTGCGGCGATGGGTGAATGGGGAGAGGTCAGACGGGAGCAGAGAGGAGGAAGACTGCGGCGATGGGTGAATGGGGAGAGGTCAGACGGGAGCAGAGAGGAGGAAGACTGCGGTGATGGGTGAATGGGGAGAGGTCAAACTGGAGCAGAGAGGAGGAAGACTGCGGAGATGGGGTGAATAGGGAGAGGTCAGACGGGAGCAGAGAGGAGGAAGACTGCGGCGATGGGTGAATGGGGAGAGGTCAGACGGGAGCAGAGAGGAGGAAGAGTGCGGTGATGGGTGAATGGGGAGAGGTCAAACTGGAGCAGCGGAGGAAGGTGAGCTCATGGCTGGCCCCAGCGGTCTCTCGGCGGAGTTGTCGTCTCTCTCGGCGGTCTCTCGGCGGAGTTGTCGTCTCTCTTGCAGGGCCCCCCCTCCCCCATCTGGAGAGCCGGGGTCACGTCATGGCGCAGCTATGCTCCTTCACTGCCAGGAAGAGTCGGGTGGAGTTCTGCACATCAGCCTGGTTGTCGCGGAGCCAAGTCGGTAATTCCGGAGCTCCACCGTCACAAACCAGATTGTGTTTACTCGTTGGGGGGACGCCGTGCCCCCCCTCCCCTCCCCCCACCAATCACACGGCTGCCATGTTTGCTCGGCTCCAACATACAAACCGCCAGAAAGTGGAAGGAATTTGTTCCCGGAGTCGGAGGAGACTTGTGGAGGAAGCAGACGGAGCCGAGCGCAGCTCCACGGGGCCACCTACTGGCTGAAATATTAATACTGACAGGCTGGCGGCCAATGAGAGCGATCCATGGAATGTCACCGATCTCTGTGGTGTCTCCGGCTGTGTATGACCCACCTGGTTGGCTCTGTACAGACCGAGTCCTCAGACATCATCTGATACTGCCAGAGCCTGCACAGCCTCCATCATCCAACACCGTCCTCCATCGTCTGGAGCTGACACAGGCGGAGTTCTCCTTTAAGCATTCATGAAATGGTGGACATGTATGTTGGAGAGGACACGTAACACGCCGGGGTCTCCTCCCACGTCATAGCATCATTGTGTTCCCAGAATCCCCTCCGCGGCGCCCCGCCGGTCATTGACGTCTCCACAGATACGTCTGGATGGAGTTCGCTGGAGAAATGGCGTCTATTGTCCCCACCGCCGGGTCCCAAATCCCGAACTTCACATCTTCAGAGTCTCTGCAAGGGAGGGAGGTTGTCAGAGAGTCAGGAGTACAGACCCCAGAACAGGGGTGGTGGGAACCCCTCATAATGGGCACAGCGGGTGTACAGACCTAGGAACTCGGCACAGGGATGGTGGGAACCCCTCATAACGGGCACCAGGATGGTGAGAACCCCTCACAATGGGCACAGGAATGGTGGGAACCCTCACAATGGGCACAGGGATGGTGGGAACCCCTCACAATGGGCACAGGGATGGTGGGAACCCCTCACAATGGGCACAGGGATGGTGGGAACCCCTCATAACGGGCACCGGGATGGTGGGAACCCCTCACAATGGGCACAGGGATGGTGGGAACCCCTCACAATGGGCACAGGGATGGTGGGAACCCCTCACAATGGGCACAGGGATGGTGGGAACCCCTCATAATGGGCACACAGTGTAGACCACCCACCTGTTCAGAATGACTAGGACGGCTGACCCATCTGGACACAGGAAGGCGATGCTCTCCAGCTGGCTCTTGCGGTTGGCCCCTAGTCCGACCCTCTGGGCCCCGGCTGGGATGAATTTGCTGCATGGATAACACAGAAGGCGGAGTTAGGGGCGGTCCTGGTGATGTCATATCCGCGTGGGCATTGCTCTGGTCTTACCTGAAGTGAGCCATGTGGTAGAAGGAAGGCTGCTTGTAGAAGACGTCTTTCTTCACATCTACAATGACAGAACTGTCCACGTAATTGCCCACCCATGTGGGGCCCCCACCTATGTCCAGGGCCAGATTCCAGTCCGTCCATCCCGTCACATAGTAACTGAGATCCTGCAAGAAGGAAAGAACGAGACTGAGGGGTTCAATGGTTTGTAGGCCAGGACCATGCTACAGACTGGGGGCAGTCAGGGACTTGTAGGCCAGGACCAATCTACAGACTGGGGGCAGTCAGGGACTTGTAGGCCAGGACCATGCTACAGACTGGGGGCAGTCAGAGGCCTGTAGGCCAGGACCATTCTACAGACTGGGGGCAGTCAGGGACTTGTAGGCCAGGACCAATCTACAGACTGGGGGCAGTCAGGGACTTGTAGGCCAGGACCATGCTACAGACTGGGGGAGTCAGGGACTTGTAGGCCAGGACCATGCTACAGACTGGGGGAGTCAGGGACTTGTAGGCCAGGACCATGCTACAAACTGAGGGGAGTCCGAGACTTGTAGGCCAGGACCATTCTACAGACTGGGGGCAGTCAGAGGCCTGTAGGCCAGGACCATTCTACAGACTGGGGGCAGTCAGGGACTTGTAGGCCAGGACCATGCTACAAACTGAGGGGAGTCCGAGACTTGTAGGCCAGGACCAATCTACAGACTGGGGGCAGTCAGGGACTTGTAGGCCAGGACCATTCTACAGACTGGGGGCAGTCAGAGACTTGTAGGCCAGGACCATTCTACAGACTGGGGGCAGTCAGAGGCCTGTAGGCCAGGACCATTCTACAGACTGGGGGCAGTCAGAGGCCTGTAGGCCAGGACCATTCTACAGCCTGGGGGCAGTCAGAGACTTGTAGGCCAGGACCATGCTACAGACTGGGGGCAGTCAGAGACTTGTAGGCCAGGACCATGCTACAGACTGGGGGAGTCAGGGACTTGTAGGCCAGGACCAATCTACAGACTGGGGGCAGTCAGAGACTTGTAGGCCATGACCATGCTACAGACTGGGGGCAGTCAGAGACTTGTAGGCCATGACCATGCTACAGATTGGGGGCAGTCAGAGACTTGTAGGCCAGGACCATGCTACAGACTGGGGGCAGTCAGGGACTTGTGAGGCCAGGACCATGCTACAGACTGGGGGAGTCAGGGACTTGTAGGCCAGGACCATTCTACAGAGTGGGGGGATTCAATGACTTGTAGGCCAGGACCATTCTACAGACTGGGGGCAGAGGCCTGTAGGCCAGGACCATTCTACAGACTGGGGGCAGTCAGAGACTTGTAGGCCAGGACCATGCTACAGACTGGGGGAGTCAGGGACTTGTAGGCCAGGACCATTCTACAGACTGGGGGCAGTCAGAGACTTGTAGGCCAGGACCATGCTACAGACTGGGGGAGTCAGGGACTTGTAGGCCAGGACCATTCTACAGAGTGGGGGGATTCAATGACTTGTAGGCCAGGACCATTCTACAGACTGGGGGCAGTCAGAGGCCTGTAGGCCAGGACCATTCTACAGACTGGGGGCAGTCAGAGACTTGTAGGCCAGGACCATGCTACAGACTGGGGGAGTCAGGGACTTGTAGGCCAGGACCATTCTACAGACTGGGGGCAGTCAGAGGCCTGTAGGCCAGGACCATTCTACAGACTGGGGGCAGTCAGAGGCCTGTAGGCCAGGACCATTCTACAGCCTGGGGGCAGTCAGAGACTTGTAGGCCAGGACCATGCTACAGACTGGGGGGAGTCAGAGGCCTGTAGGCCAGGACCATTCTACAGACTGGGGGCAGTCAGAGGCCTGTAGGCCAGGACCATGCTACAGACTGGGGGCAGTCAGGGACTTGTAGGCCAGGACCATTCTACAGACTGGGGGCAGTCAGAGGCCTGTAGGCCAGGACCATTCTACAGCCTGGGGGCAGTCAGAGACTTGTAGGCCAGGACCATGCTACAGACTGGGGGGAGTCAGAGGCCTGTAGGCCAGGACCATTCTACAGACTGGGGGCAGTCAGAGGCCTGTAGGCCAGGACCATGCTACAGACTGGGGGCAGTCAGGGACTTGTAGGCCAGGACCATTCTACAGACTGGGGGCAGTCAGAGGCCTGTAGGCCAGGACCATTCTACAGACTGGGGAAGGAGGGGGTTGGGATAAAGAGTAGCGATAAGGCAGTAGACACAGAAGGCAGTTGGTTGGCTCACCTGGACCGGATGTTGGCTCACCTCTATGATATGATGGCTGTATTGGTTCCCCCTCTCCCAGGATCCGAGGTGCACCCCCTTGTCCCAAGGCATTACGCCAGCACAAGCCTCACTGGCAAACAGGAAGTATTCTGGGTAGAGGTCATGAGTGCGGCCAAGAGTGACATCTGCAGGTATCAACCCATCCAGGTACCAGTGGAGGGCGAGTCCATGTACGTAACGGGCAGCCTCCAGATCAGAGAGAATCTACAAAAAACAAGTCAGGCAGACGTTAATGGGTCTCCCTTCCATCCAACAGACCTATCCTGAAAACCTGGCCTGCTCGTGCCTCTGCTAGGTTGGATCCACCCTGCAGCATGGTGCAGCTTTGTCCCACAGAAGTCACGCAGTAACCTTCAGTCACTCACCACCTCAGCCCAGTAGGGTAACAGAATCCGGTTGTCGTCGATTATCATGAGCTGAACATCTTTGTGGGAACTGTTGGCCAAGGTTGGGCCCAGATCATTGGCGATAAAGTCCCTCATGTGCTCCGGTGTGAAACCCAAACACTGGAACGGATAGCCCTCCAACATCCCAGCCGTGGGCTCGTTCTCCACAGTCACCGCCCAGAACGTCAAATTGTGTTTGGCGTATTCGTCCAAAAATCTGAATCATTAAAATAAGCGACAGTTAATGTCAGCCGGACGAAGTACGGGAGATAACCCCTCACCCCACATGGCGGCACAGATCAGACCTGATGAAGTAGTTGGCCCAGGTCTTATGGTACCGATCTCCAGGAGAGCCCTTAAGAGTTCCCTTCCCTCTGATGTCATCATTAGTCTTCATCCACGGCGGGGCCGTCCAGGGGCTGGCGAACAGCGATATTGGCCTTTTCGATAAGGTCTTTGCTTTGTGTATGATGGGAATCTAGAAGAAGACATTGGACAGGTGTTTGGGATGACATTAATGATGTACAGATTTCCCCTTGGTACTCCATGATCTTCGTGTCTCACCTTCAGTTTGGTGTCCTCCACCTGCAGATTAAATGACTCCAGACTGAAGTCTCCTTCTTTATCCAGGTAGGTGTAGATTCGTGTAGAAAAGTCACAGCTGGCCATGGGGACACGGAGAATGCTGTAACCAATTCCTAGGAGGAGAGGGGGCATTATAACCCCTGGTGATGATGAATAAACCCTTCAACCCCATTATGGTGGAATAGGTCACCTTTTTCGGAGAAGTAGGACCTCAGCAGGTTGTCCTGAGTCGCTTCACTTAATGCCAGGATGTTCAGGGCAGCAGAATCGGTCACTGCTCCACCAAAGCCCTTCATGACCTGAAATTTCTTCTTGTCGTTCAGTGTGAAGACCAGATCTCAAGGTGAAAAGAGTAAGGAACAAATTTCATTTTTTATATGAAGATAAAGTTCATTTTTTTTAAATATCACAAATTTAAATAACAAAATAATGAAAAAAAGAAATGCGTAGGGTCGTTTTCTATAGGCTATGGAGGATTTAGAGACTTGCAGGCCAGGACCATTCTACCGGCTAGGGGGGAGTGGGAGACTTGTAAGTTAGGACCAGTTCATGACTTCAGATCTCAAGAACTTCCCATAAAGGTGACCTCTAGATCTGGTGGTTGAGGAGACCATGGAAGGTGTTTGACTTAGACAATTCTACCAGCTAGGGAAGAGCCAGAAAATTGTAGGCCAGGACCAATCTACAGGCTAAGGTGGGAGGCAGATGCTTGTAGACCAGGACCCTCCTACATACTGGTGGGAATCAAAGGTTTGTAGACTTGGATCATCCTACAGACTGGCGGGAGTGAGAGAATGGTCAGGGCCATTCTACCAGCTAGAGAAGAGTTGGAGGCCAGGACCATTCTATGGCTTCGGATCTCCAGAACTTCCGAAAAATGTGATGTGTAGATGTGGTGGTTGAGGAGGCCAATGGTCATGTTAGGTGTTTGATATTATTGCGAGGATTATAAAACCACGTGTTCATAAGCGGAAATATAAACCCGAAATATCTGAGCACCTTCGGAGGACAGGGTTGACACCATGATGGTGTGTGAATTTGCCCACAAGGTGTGTCTTATTTTGTACTTTACATGAGAAGCACATTGAGGTGCTATCTGTGAGACGCTGGATGATCTCACAATGTGGAATAGTTACCGGCTGGTGCAGAGTGATTCTTGATGATGGGCCCAGTGCTTAGTTCCAGACGTTTGCCAGCCTGGTTGCTCTCATACATGCTGTAGGAGCCCAGCGCTGGGAGGTCAAAGGCATCCAGGCCATCACAATACGTGGCATTACATTGACACACGAAAGAGCTCTGCCCGAAATTAACTGGAACACATGGACGGGATCCTGAGAAAACACAGAAGAAGGACAAATGGAAGGACAATGACACTTCTGGTAGGTGCAGTACAGCCGCAGTACCCTCCTGCCAGAGACTCCAATCTTTCTCCACCATAGGCCAAACACCCTCCCACCAGAGACTCTCCAACCTTTCTCCATCATGGCCCATACCCTCCCACCAGAGACTCTCCAACCTTTCTCCATCATAGGTCCGAAACCTCCCACCAGAGACCCTCCAATCCTTTCTCCATCATAGGCCCAATACCCTCCCACCAGAGACTCTCCAACCTTTCTCCATCATAGGCCCAATATCTCCCACCAGAGACTCTCCAATCTTTCTCCACCATAGGCCCAATACCCTCCCACCAGAGACTCTCCAACCTTTCTCCATCATAGGTCCGAATATCTTCCCACCAGAGACCTCCAATCATTCTCCATCATGGCCCAATACCCTCCCACAGAGACTCTCCAACCTTTCTCCATCATAGGTCCGAAACCCTCCCACCAGAGACCCTCCAATCATTCTCCACCATAGGCCCAATACCCTCCCAGAGACTCTCCAACCTTTCTCCATCATGGGCCCATACCCTCCCACCAGAGACTCTCCAACCTTTCTCCATCATAGGTCCAAAACCCTCCCACCAGAGACCCTCTCCAATCATTTCTCCACATAGGTCCAAAACCCTCCCACCAGAGACTCTCCAACCTTTCTCCATCATAGGCCCAATACCCTCCCACCAGAGACCCTCCAACCTTTCTCCATCATGGGCCCATACCCTCCCACCAGAGACTCTCCAACCTTTCTCCATCATAGGTCCAATACCCTCCCACCAGAGACTCACCAATCTTTCTCCACCATAGGCCCAATACCCTCCCACCAGAGACTCTCAAACCCTTTCTTCTGTCTTTCAGAAATATTTTGGAATGTCCCCGTCTCTCAGGAATATTCAGGAATGTCCCCATTTCTCAGGAATATTCAGGAATGTCCCCGTCTCTCGGGAATATTCAGGGATGTCCCCATTTCTCAGGAATATTCAGGAATGTCCCCATTTCTCAGGAATGTCCCCATTTCTCAGGAATATTCAGGGATGTCCCCGTCTCTGGAATATTCAGGGATGTCCCCATTTCTCAGGAATATTCAGGAATGTCCCCATTTCTTCTCAGGAATGTCCCCGTTTCTCAGGAATATTCAGGAATGTCCCCGTTTCTCAGGAATATTCAGGAATGTCCCCGGCTCTCAGGAATATTCAGGAATGTCCCCGTCTCTCAGGAATATTCAGGGATGTCCCCATTTCTCAGGGATGTCCCCGGAATATTCAGGAATGTCCCCGTCTATCAGGAATATTCAGGAATGTCCCCGTCTCTCAGGAATGTCCCCATTTCTCAGGGATGTCCCCGTCTCAGGAATATTCGGGAATGTCCCCATTTCTCAGGATATTCCCGTGTCTCCGTCTCTCAGGAATGTCCCCGTCTCTCGGGAATATTCAGGGATGTCCCCATTTCTCAGGAATATTCAGGAATGTCCCCCATTTCTCAGGAATGTCCCTATTTCTCAGGAATATTCAGGGATGTCCCCGTCTCTCTGGAATATTCAGGAATGTCCCCGGCTCTCAGGAATATTCAGGAATGTCCCCGTTTCTCAGGAATATTCAGGAATGTCCCCGTTTCTCAGGAATATTCAGGAATGTCCCCGTTTCTCAGGAATATTCAGGAATGTCCCCGGCTCTCAGGAATATTCAGGAATGTCCCCGTCTATCAGGAATATTCAGGAATGTCCCCGTCTCTCAGGAATGTCCCCATTTCTCAGGGATGTCCCCATCTCAGGAATATTCGGGAATGTCCCCATTTCTCAGGAATATTCAGGGATGTCCCCGTCTCTCAGGAATATTCAGGAATGTCCCCGTCTATCAGGAATATTCAGGAATGTCCCTGTCTCTCAGGGATGTCCCCGTCTCAGGAATATTCGGGAATGTCCCCATTTCTCAGGAATATTCAGGAATGTCTCCGTCTCTCAGGAATGTCCCCGTCTCTCAGGAATATTCAGGAATGTCCCCGTCTCTCAGGAATGTCCCCGTCTCTCAGGAATGTCCCCGTCTCTCAGGAATATTCAGGGATGTCCCCAAATGTCACATTTTCTCACCTGAGGTGGATGGAAATGACACCAATGAGGCCAGAAGCAGCACCCCGATGTTGGCCACCATGGCTGAGACGAGGCCACGCTCCATCTCCACCTGCAGAGAGACAGGAACACTGACCGGTCATGGAGCAAAGTCCCGGGTCTGGGTGGGACAATGAGGTTTTCTTTATGAGGGTCTCAGTGGGCCAATCAGGGGGCTGCTTAGCTCAGAACAATCCTCTTTGTGAAGAATAGGAAGCCCCCTGTAGGTGAGGAGTGACTGGAGGGGGCGCCCCCTGTAGGTGAGGAGTGACTGGAGGGGGCCCCCCTGTAGGTGAGGAGTGTAGGGGGCGCCCCCTGTAGGTGAGGAGTGACTGGAGGGGGCGCCCCCTGTAGGTGAGGAGTGACTGGAGGGGGCGCCCCCTGTAGGTGAGGAGTGACTGGAGGGGGCGCCCCCTGTAGGTGAGGAGTGACTGGAGGGGGCGCCCCCTGTAGGTGAGGAGTGACTGGAGGGGGCGCCCCTGTAGGTGAGGAGTGACTGGAGGGGGCGCCCCCTGTAGGTGAGGAGTGACTGGAGGGGGCACCCCCTGTAGGTGAGGAGTGACTGGAGGGGGCGCCCCCTGTAGGTGAGGAGTGACTGGAGGGGGCGCCCCCTGTAGGTGAGGAGTGACTGGAGGGGGCGCCCCCTGTAGGTGAGGAGTGACTGGAGGGGGCGCTATCTCAGAGGTGACATCAACAAACTTCCCTGGTCTGGAGATTGGCCAACAAGTGGTGTCCCCATTGCTGAGAGACCCCCCGCCCCCGCACAGACCACCCAGAAACAGGTGACAGATCCCTCTCCGCCTCTCCATGGGCTCCATCCAGGACACCTGGGGCCCCTTTCTAGGAAGCGTTGTGTGGAAACATTCTGATGGGACGGGAAGTGACCCGTATGGTCCCTGGGCCGTGATACGGACGCCCCTACAATGACCTGCAGAACAGACCGACATCTTTATATGTTTTCTGCTCAGCCGGTGGGGTGGGGGGGGGGGGGGGGTCATTTACTGAAGTTCTCCTGCACCTGATTGGATGTCACCTCCACCACAATCCCCCCCCCCCCAGGGACTAGAAGAGATTTGATTGGCTCCCCACTGTTGCCTTGCTTTTACCAACAAAGGGTTAAACATGAATGAGCCGTGTGGCCCCATCGCCCTCCGATCACTCACCCTCTGTAGCTGACACTTCCTGGTCATGTGACTCCGCCCCGGTCATGTGACCCGCCTGCTGATACAATGTTTCCTATTGAGGATTTCCTGGAGGAAACAAAAGAAACATTTACCTGGGAGATCGGCCTCGAATAATTCAGCGACCCTGCCGGGGTCATCCTCATCCTCATATCATGGATAGGAAGGTGTCCACCTCACCCTTCTAAATCTGGAGGATGGGGGCCCCATACATGTGAGGGGCCCCGAATGACTACCGCCCCAAGCCCCCATCCTCCATGAGAAGGACAGGGCGGCCATTGCTGAACGCTGAAAATGCTGGTTTCCTGGCTGTGATGATGATCCTCAGTCTTCACTGCCTAGATTAGGTGTCACCTCTCTGGTGTCCCTGAAATCTGTAGACTCTGCCAGGGCCACACAGAGAGAATCTGGGGGGGGGGGGGGGTCATTGCTCGGCCTATTGGAGGACCCCTGGGGGAAGGCGGCCATTGCTGGACTTTGTGGGGGTCTGTATGGAGGACCCCCGGGGGAAGGCGGCCATTACTGGACTTTATGGGGGTCTGTATGGAGGACCCGCGGGGGAAGGCGGCCATTGCTAGACTTTGTGGGGGTCTGTATGGAGGACCCCCGGGGGAAGGCGGCCATTGCTGGACTTTATGGGGGTCTGTATGGAGGACCCGCGGGGGAAGGCGGCCATTGCTGGACTTTATGGGGGTCTGTATGGAGGACCCGCGGGGGAAGGCGGCCATTGCTGGACTTTATGGGGGTCTGTATGGAGGACCCGCGGGGGGAAGGCGGCCATTGCTGGACTTTATGGGGGTCTGTATGGAGGACCTGCGGGGGAAGGCGGCCATTGCTGGACTTTATGGGGGTCTGTATGGAGGACCTGCGGGGGAAGGCGGCCATTGCTGGACTTTATGGGGGTCTCTATGGAGGACCCCCGGGGGAAGGCGGCCATTGCTGGACTTTGTGGGGGTCTGTATGGAGGACCCGCGGGGGGAAGGCGGCCATTGCTGGACTTTATGGGGGTCTGTATGGGAGACCCCCGGGGGAAGGCGGCCATTGCTGGACTTTATGGGGGTCTCTATGGAGGACCCCCGGGGGAAGGCGGCCATTGCTGGACTTTGTGGGGGTCTGTATGGAGGACCCGCGGGGGAAGGCGGCCATTGCTGGACCTCATTGAGGTTGCTAATACTATATGGGGGACCCCTTACTGGACCTTCTTGGGGTCTATAATAATACATGGGGGACTCCCCGGAGGGTGGCTGTGGCTGGACCTTATGGGGGATTTCCAACACTTATAGAGGACCTCTGGTGGCCACCAATTATGTTCCATTCAGTCAGGAGAGATCTGATCTTCTCGGAGGATCGGGAAGGAATTCGTTCTCTATGGGATCCGATTGTTATGGGGATCGGGAAGGAATTCGTTCTCTATGGAATCCGATTGTTATGGGGATCGGGAAGGAATTCGTTCTCTATGGGATCCGATTGTTATGGGGATCGGGAAGGAATTCGTTCTCTACGGGATCCGATTGTTATGGGGATCGGGAAGGAATTCGTTCTCTATGGGATCCGATTGTTATGGGGATCGGGAAGGAATTCGTTCTCTATGGGATCCGATTGTTATGGGGATCGGGAAGGAATTCGTTCTCTATGGGATCCGATTGTTATGGGGATCGGGAAGGAATTCGTTCTCTACGGGATCCGATTGTTATGGGGATCGGGAAGGAATTCGTTCCCTACGGGATTCGGGAAGGAATTCGTTCTCTACGGGATCCGATTGTTATGGGGATCGGGAAGGAATTCGTTCTCTATGGGATCCGATTGTTATGGGGATCGGAAGGAAGGAATTCGTTTCTCTCTATGGGATCCGATTGTTATGGGGGATCGGGAAGGAATTCGTTCTCTATGGGATCCGATTGTTATGGGGATCGGGAAGGAATTCGTTCTCTACGGGATCCGATTGTTATGGGGATCGGGAAGGAATTCGTTCTCTATGGGATCCGATTGTTATGGGGATCGGGAAGGAATTCGTTCTCTATGGGATCCGATTGTTATGGGGATCGGGAAGGAATTCGTTCTTATCTATGGGATCCGATTGTTATGGGGATCGGGAAGGAATTCGTTCTCTATGGGATCCGATTGTTATGGGGATCGGGAAGGAATTCGTTCTCTATGGGATCCGATTGTTATGGGGATCGGGAAGGAATTCGTTCTCTATGGGATCCGATTGTTATGGGGATCGGGAAGGAATTCGTTCTATGGGATCCGATGGGATCCGGGATTGTTATGGGGATCGGGAAGGAATTCGTTCTCTACGGGATCCGATTGTTATGGGGATCGGGAAGGAATTCGTTCTCTACGGGATCCGATTGTTATGGGGATCGGGAAGGAATTCGTTCTCTACTGTGGGATCCGATTGTTATGGGGATCGGGAAGGAAAGGAATTCGTTCTCTATGCGATCCGATTGTTATGGGGATCGGGAAGGAATTCGTTCCCTATGGGATCCGATTGTTATGGGGATCGGGAAGGAATTCGTTCCCTATGGGATCCGATTGTTATGGGGATCGGGAAGGAATTCGTTCTCTATGGGATCCGATTGTTATGGGGATCAGCTGAAGGTTGGACTCTCCGAGGATTCGGCAACTTCTTGGTCTTTTTATCTATCACAATGTGACCACACACTGTACAATCTCCTCCAGATCTACCATCAGCGTTGTAGTGCAGGAGCCTGCCCCATGGGGTACACCTAGAATGAAGGTTCCCATCACATTGTACAGTGTGTGGCCGGCTGCACTGTCGGTGAGGATAGATAATGATATATACAGCCAAGGGGCCCCGTCACCAACCTGACCCATTGCTGCCAATTGCCCTGCCCTCCCCTTCTGGGGGAGTGTCTCATTTATATGGCCCCTCCTACTCCAGGAGTGTCTCATTTATGTGGCCCCTCCTTCTGGGAGTGTCTCATTTATATGGCCCCTCCCTTCTGGGGGGTTGCTCATTTATAAGGCCCCTCCTTCTGGGAGTGTCTTTTTTATAGTCTCTTTTTAGGCCCCTCCCACCTTCAGACTTGTGTGTCTCATTTATATGGCCCCTCCTCTTGTGGGCGTCTCTTTTATATGGCCCCTCCTCTTGTGGGAGTGTCTCATTTATATGGCCCCTCCTCTTGTGGGAGTGTCTCAGGTATATTGCACCTACAGCTTTAGCGATGCCCCAGCCCTCAGAGCTTACAATCTAGAATCCTTCCTTACATATTGAGGCCAATTTAGGGCGGAGCCATTAACCTGCCAGCATGTCTCTGGAGGGAACCCATGTATGTAGACTCCATGCAGATGATGCCTGTGCTGGTCCAGCTCCTCCTTCCAAATACACATATAACTCTATGGAGGGGGGGCTGTCAGTGAAATGATTGGTCAGGTGACGGGATCCCTCTATAACGATTAGTCAGGTGACGGGATCCCTCTATAACGATTAGTCAGGTGACGGGATCCCTCTATAACGATTGGTCAGGTGACGGGATCCCTCTATAACGATTGGTCAGATGACGGGATCCCTCTATAACGATTGGTCAGGTGACGGGATCCCTCTATAACCCTCTATAACGATTGGTCAGGTGACGGGATCCCTCTATAACGATTGGTCAGGTGACGGGATCCCTCTATAACGATTGGTCAGATGACGGGATCCCTCTATAACGATTGGTCAGGTGACGGGATCCCTCTATAACGATTGGTCAGGTGACGGGATCCCTCTATAACGATTGGTCAGGTGACGGGATCCCTCTATAACGATTGGTCAGGTGACAGGATCCCTCTATAACGATTGGTCAGGTGAGGGGATCCCTCTATAACGATTGGTCAGGTGACGGGATCCCTCTATAACGATTGGTCAGGTGAGGGGATCCCTCTATAACGATTGGTCAGGTGACGGGATCCCTCTATAACGATTGGTCAGGTGACGGGATCCCTCTATAACGATTGGTCAGGTGAGGGGGATCCCTCTATATAAGGATTTGGTCAGGTGAGGGGATCCCTCTATAAGGATTGGTCAGGTGACGGGATCCCTCTATAACGATTGGTCAGGTGAGGGGATCCCTCTATAAGGATTGGTCAGGTGAGGGGATCCCTCTATAAGGATTGGTCAGGTGACGGGATCCCTCTATAACGATTGGTCAGGTGAGGGGATCCCTCTAGGTGAGGGATCCCTCTATAAGGATTGGTCAGGTGAGGGGATCCCTCTATAAGGATTGGTCAGGTGAGGGATCCCTCTATAACGATTGGTCAGGTGACGGGATCCCTCTATAACGATTGGTCAGGTGAGGGGATCCCTCTATAAGGATTGGTCAGGTGACGGGATCCCTCTATAACGATTGGTCAGGTGACGGGATCCCTCTATAACGATTGGTCAGGTGACGGGATCCCTCTATAACGATTGGTCAGGTGTCGGGATCTCTATAGACAAGAATTTGACATGATTGGTAAATGTGAAACTTTAATCATCAATATACACAGAGCAATCTACAATCGTACAATCCGCCTGTCTCCGCCCACCAGCCACACCCACCAGTCCTGGCCAAACAGTCCTCGAGGATCGTGCTGACGGCGTAATGTCCAAATCTGTCCTCGATCTCGGGATCTGCAGACAGAGCTGTGCCAGGGAAGAGATTGTACTGTGGATGATTGTACAGACAGATTGCACGGTGGATGATTGTACGGATTGTGGTGGATGATTGTACCAGATTGCACGGTGGATGATTGTACAGACGGTGGATGATTGTACAGACCAGATTGCACGGTGGATGATTGTACAGACCAGATTGTACGGTGGATGATTGTACAGATCAGATTGCACGGTGGATGATTGTACAGACCAGATCAGGTGGATTGTACCGATCAGATTGTACGGTGGATGATTGTACAGATCAGATTGTACGGTGGATGATTGTACAGACCAGATTGCACGGTGGATGATTGTACAGACCAGATTGCACGGTGGATGATTGTACCGATCAGATTGTACGGTGGATGATTGTACCGATCAGATTGTACGGTGGATGATTGTACAGACCAGATTGCAGGTGGGATGATTGCAGACGATTGTGGATGATTGTACCGATCAGATTGCACATTGTACCGATCAGATTGTACGGTGGATGATTGTACAGATCAGATTGCACGGTGGATGATTGTACCGATCAGATTGCACGGTGGATGATTGTACAGTTGCACGGTGGATGATTGTACAGACCAGATTGCACGGTGGATGATTGTACCGATCAGATTGTACGGTGGATGATTGTACCGATCAGATTGTACGGTGGATGATTGTACCGATCAGATTGCACGGTGGATGATTGTACCGATCAGATTGTACGGTGGATGATTGTTTCCTCGGAGGCGGTCTGCAGGCGGAGCTTCCTGTTTTGTGATTGGACGGAATCGTCCCACGATAAGCAAAGTCTCCTCCCCCATCAGAGATGAGAACTGGAATGTGATTGGCTGGGCGGTGCAGACCCTCCCCCGCGGACCAATCTATCAGCGTCTTTCCTGGGGGGCGGAGTCACATGCGTACAGACAGTCGGGCTCCCGGCATGCAGCGGATTTTTCCCACAATGCACCACAAGGGCACCGGCATGCATGTGGGAGGTGGGGGGGCGTGCGCCCCGCGGGCGTCTATGAGATGCAATCACATGCACTGACCGCACACCAACCAGTATTGAGGATGCATCGCGTGGGAGGAGACTGGCGCACCAATCACAGCTGTGTGGGCGGAGTCAACGCTCCTGGAACCCGGTGGTCTCAGGGGCCACACACTGTAAGGTCACTGATCATGCGGTCCCCTCTGTGCCGGGTTCTGCGTGGGCGGCTCTCACTCCGCCTCTCCTCACACCGAACTCTCTTTTGGCGCCTCGTTCAGGCTGTGTGGACGCCGGTTCCCTCGCCGACCGCCGGACAGGAGACGGCGGAGAGATGAGGTGGAGCTGAGGTCTCCGCAACTCTGCATGGGGGTCCTGGGGGGCCACCGCTCCGGGTCCAGGGGCAGCAGACTCTTCAGGGGCTGAAAAAGGTCAAACAAGAGCAGAAATGGTTTCATCCCGGGGAGAAGGGGGAACGCGGTTCTGGCACCTCAACACCTAACGGATCTATTTTTCTGGGGATCTATGGTTGCTGAGGGATCTAAGGTTGTTGAGGGATCTATGGTTGCGGGGGATCTATGGTTGCTGGGGATCTATAGATTGCTTGAGGGATCTATGGTTGCGGGGATATATGGTTGCTGGTGGGATCTATGGTTGCGGGGGGATCTATGGTTGCGGGTGGGGTCTATGGTTGTTGGGGGATCTATGCTTGCGGGTGGGGTCTATGGTTGCTGGGGGATCTATGGTTGCTGAGGGATCTATGGTTGCCGGGGGGGTCTTTTGTTACGGTGGGGATATATGGTTGTCGGGGATCTATGGTTGCTGGGGGCTTCTTTGGTTGCTGCAGATATTTTTGGGAGCTATTGTTGTGGGGGATCTAAGGTTTTTGGATAGGGATCTATAGTGCTGGGATGGGGACCTATTGTTGCTGTTTGGTAGGGCTAAGGTTGCTGGGGGGTCTATGTTTGCTGAGCCATGGAAATCTATTGTTACTGGGGGATATCTATGTTGCTGGTGTGGGGATCTCTTGTTGGGGGGTGATCTATTGTTGCTTTGGGGGTCTATTGTTTCTAGCGTGGATCTATTGTTTCTGGGGGTTCTATTTTTACGGGGGATATTTATTGGTTGGGACTGGGGATCTATTGTTTTGCTGGGGGATCTATGGGGGGGTCTATGGGTGCTGGGGGGATCTATTGTTTCTTTTGAGCCCATGGGATCTGAGATCTGTTGCTAGCCATGGATCTATTGTTTCCGCAGGGATATATTGTTGCTCTTGTGCTGCTATTGGTACTGGGGGTCTATTGTTGCTGGGGGTCTATTGTTTCTGACTGCATGAGATCTATTTTTGCTGGGGAGTCTTTTGTTTCTGACTGCATGGGATCTATTGTTTCTGACTGCATGGGATCTATTGTTGCTGGGGGGGGTCTATTGTTTCTGACTGCAGTGGATCTATTTTCTCTTACTGCATGGGATCTATTGTTGCTGGGGGATCTATTGTTACTGGTAGATCTATTTTTGCTGGGGGTCTATTGTTGCTGGGGGTCTATTTTGCTGTGGGATCTATTTTTGCTGGGGGTCTATTGTTGCTTGGGGATCTATTTTTGCTGGGGGTCTATTGTTGCTTGGGGATCTGTTGTTGTACTAGGCGTGGATCTATTGTTTCTGGGGGTTCTATTTTTTACTGGGGGATATTTATGGTTGCTGGATGGGGAGCTATTGTTGCTGGGGGATCTATTGTGGGGGTATATGGGTGCTGGATGGGGATCTATTGTTGCTTTTGAGCCCATTGTTGCGCTGAGATCTGTTGCTAGCCATGGATCTATTGTTTATGGGGGATATATTGTTGCTAGGTGTGCATCTATTGGTACTGGGGGTCTATTGTTGCTGTGGGATCTATTGTTGCTTTGGGATCTATTGTTGCTGGGGGTCTATTGTTGCTGGGGTTCTATTGTTGCTGTGGGATCTATTGTTGCTTGGGGGATCTATTGTTGCTGGGGATCTATTGTTGCTTGGGGATCTATTGTTGCTGGGGATCTATTGTTGCTGGGGATCTATTGTTGCTGGGGGTCTATTGTTGCTGGGGGTCTATTGTTGCTGGGGTCTATTGTTGCTGGGGGTCTATTGTTGCTTGGGGATCTATTGTTGCTGGGGTGCTATTGTTGGGGGGTTCTATTGTTGGGGATCTATTGTTGCTTTGGGATCTATTGTTGCTGGGGGTCTATTGTTGCTGGGGATCTATTGTTGCTGGGGGTCTATTGTTGCTTGGGATCTATTGTTGCTGGGGGTCTATTGTTGCTGGGGGGGCTATTGTTGCTGTGGGATCTATTGTTGCTGGGGATCTATTGTTGCTGGGGGATCTATTGTTGCTTTGGGATCTATTGTTGCTGGGGGTCTATTGTTGCTGGGGATCTATTGTTGCTGGGGAATCTATTGTTGCTTGGGGATCTATTGTTGCTGGGGGTCTATTGTTGCTGGGGGTCTATTGTTGCTGTGGGATCTATTGTTGCTTGGGGATCTATTGTTGCTGGGGGGTCTATTGTTGCTTGGGGATCTATTGTTGCTGGGGGTCTATTGTTGCTGGGGATCTATTGTTGCTGGGGTCTATTGTTGCTTTCCGGGGGATCTATTGTTGCTGGGGGTATTGTTGCTGGGGATCTATTGTTGCTGGGGATCTATTGTTGCTTGGGATCTATTGTTGCTGGGGGGGTCTATTGTTGCTGGGGGTCTATTGTTGCTGGGGGGTCTATTGTTGCTGGGGGTCTATTGTTGCTGGGGATCTATTGTTGCTGGGGGTCTATTGTTGCTGGGGATCTATTGTTGCTGGGGATCTATTGTTGCTGGGGATCTATTGTTGCTGGGGGTCTATTGTTGCTGGGGATCTATTGTTGCTGGGGGTCTATTGTTGCTGGGGATCTATTGTTGCTTGGGATCTATGGTACTGCTTTTCTTGTTATCATCAACAAATTCCATGCTTGGCACTACAAAGTGGCATGTGGCTCTGCGTCCTGTAAAAGGGGCGGCACTGGGAGGTGTGTAGTGGGTGGAACCTACGGATGGTGCTAGGTGGTGGGCAGGGACAAGGGAACCCCTCCCACTGGTCACAAGACCACAGGCAGAAATGACCCTGAGGAAGGCCTCCGATAGGCTCTCTATTCCTGGACCCCTCCCATGGTTGGGCGTCATCCTACAAGGACATTGCCCCGCCCCCCGCTCACCTGCTTTGTGTTGTCTCCGCCCTCCTTTAGGCTCCTCCGGGATCGGTTCAGGAACCGGGCCATGATCATCCGGGTGTTCCTCCCGCCCTTCAGGTCTCCGAGGGACAAGGCACCACTTCTGGAAAGCCGCTGGACCGTCCTGTGTGTCACCAGGAAGCGGTTCTTTCCCGGCTGAACCCGTGCGCAGAAGTAAGGGGGAGGTTGGCCGGTGGTGTCTGTGGGGGCCCGCCTCGGCACACAGAGCTACGGAGACAGATACGAGAGTCACCCACTGCGGGGGGGTCATGAGGAGCACAATCCGGCACAACTGGAAGGTGTCTACAAGACTTTCCAACTGGAAACTGCCATTGGCCACCACAGGTGGAGCTTCTCCTCCGACTGCCTTACCTGCTGCATCTATGGAGGAGAGGGAGAGGTTGTCCTCTTCTAGGACCTTCATGTAGTCCACGTCCCCGAAATCTGCAACATACAAGAAGAAACATTGGACATCGGAACCAGCGAAAATATTCCACTGTGACCTCATCAATCAGGGGCAAATGGTCCGCCTCCAGAAATCAATCAGGGGCGAAAGGTCCGCCTCCCAGAATTCAGGATGACATCATCAGGTAGGGGCGAAAGGTCAGGGGCATCATCAGGTAGGGGCGAAAGGTCCGCCTCCCCGAATTCAGGATGACATCATCAGGGAGGGGCGAAAGGTCCGCCTCCCCGAATTCAGAATGACATCATCAATCAGGGGCGAAAGGTCCGCCTCCCAGAATTCAGAATGACATCATCAGGGGGGGGGGCGAAAGGTCCGCCTCCCCGAATTCAGAATGACATCATCAGGGTCCAGGGGCGGGAAGGTCCAGCCTCCCGAATTCAGAATGACATCATCAGGGGGGGGCGAAAGGTCCATCTCCCCGAATTCAGAATGACATCATCAGCGATCAATGGTCCATCTCCCCGAATTTAGGGACATCTCAGTGAGGGTCCATCTCCCCGAATTCAGAATGACATCATCAGCAAGGGGCGGGCGGTCCTTCTCCCCGAATTCAGAATGACATCATCAGCATCTCCCCCCCGAATTCAGAATGACATCATCAGGAGGGGCGGGCAGTCCATCTCCCCGAATTCAGAATGACATCATCAGCGAGGGGCGGGCGGTCCATCTCCCCGAATTCAGAATGACATCATCAGCGAGGGGGGGGCCGCCTCCCCGAATTCCAGGGGCGGGCAGTCCACCTCCCCGAATTCAGAATGACATCATCAGGGGGGCGGGCATCCATCTCCCCGAATTCAGAATGACATCATCAGCGAGGGGCCCCGCCTCCCCGAATTCAGAATGACATGACATCATCAGCGAGGGGCGGGCGGTCCACCTCCCCGAATTCAGAATGACATCATCAGGGGGGGCGGTCCACCTCCCCGAATTCAGAATGACATCATCGGGGGGGCGGGCGGTCCACCTCCCCGAATTCAGAATGACATCATCGGGGGGGGCGGGCGGTCCACCTCCCCGAATTCAGAATGACATCATCGGGGGGGCGGGCGGTCCACCTCCCCGAATTCAGAATGACATCATCAGGGGGGGGGGCGGTCCATCTCCCCGAATTCAGAATGACATCATCAGGGGGCGGGCGGTCCATCCTCCCCGAATTCAGAATGACATCATCAGGGGGGGGGCGGTCCACCTCCCCGAATTCAGAATGACATCATCAGGGGGGGCGGGCGGTCCACCTCCCCGAATTCAGAATGACATCATCAGGGGGGGCGGGCGTCCACCTCCCCGAATTCAGAATGACATCATCGGGGGGCGGGCGGGCGGTCCACCTCCCCGAATTCAGAATGACATCATCAGCGAGGGGGGCGGTCCACCTCCCCGAATTCAGAATGACATCATCAGGGGGGCGGGCGGTCCACCTCCCCGAATTCAGAATGACATCATCGGGGGGGGGCGGGCCACCTCCCCGAATTCAGAATGACATCATCGGGGGGGGCGGGCGGTCCACCTCCCCGAATTCAGAATGACATCATCGGGGGGGGGGTCCACCTCCCCGAATTCAGAATGACATCATCGGGGGGGGGGCGGTCCATCTCCCCGAATTCAGAATGACATCATCGGGGGGGGGGTCCACCTCCCCGAATTCAGAATGACATCATCGGGGGGGGGCGGTCCATCTCCCCGAATTCAGAATGACATCATCGGGGGGGCGGTCCATCTCCCCGAATTCAGAATGACATCATCGGGGGGGGGGGCGGTCCATCTCCCCGAATTCCGAATGACATCATCAGGGGGGTCCATCTCCCCCGAATTCCGAATGACATCATCAGGGGGGCGGGCGGTCCATCTCCCCGAATTCCGAATGACATCATCAGGGGGGGCGGGCGGTCCATCTCCCCCCCGAATTCCGAATGACATCATCAGGGGGCGGGCGGTCCATCTCCCCGAATTCCGAATGACATCATCAGGGGGGGGGGCGGGGGGGGGGCGGGGTCCACCTCCCCGAATTCAGAATGACATCATCAGGGGGGGCGGGCGGTCCACCTCCCCGAATTCAGAATGACATCATCGGGGGGGGGCGGTCCACCTCCCCGAATTCAGAATGACATCATCGGGGGGCGCGGGCGGTCCATCTCCCCGAATTCAGAATGACATCATCGGGGGGGGGGCGGTCCACCTCCCCGAATTCAGAATGACATCATCGGGGGGCGGGCGGTCCATCTCCCCGAATTCAGAATGACATCATCGGGGGGGGCGGTCATCCCCGAATTCAGAATGACATCATCACTCCCCGAATTCAGAATGACATCATCAGGGGGGCGGTCCATCTCCCCGAATTCCGAATGACATCATCAGGGGGGGCGGTCCATCTCCCCGAATTCCGAATGACATCATCAGGGGGGGGCGGAATGACATCATCAGGGGGGGCGGTCCATCTCCCCGAATTCCGAATGACATCATCAGGGGGGCGGGCGGTCCATCTCCCCGAATTCCGAATGACATCATCAGGGGGGGGGCGGTCCATCTCCCCGAATTCCCCGAATGACATCATCAGGGGGGGGGGGGGTCCACCATCTCCCCGAATTCCGAATGACATCATCAGGGGGGGGGCGGTCCACTCCCCGAATTCCGAATGACATCAATCAGGGGGGGGGGCGGGCGGTCCATCTCCCCGAATTCCAAATGACATCATCATCATCGGGGGGGGCGGGGAATTCAGAATGACGGGCGGTCCATCTCCCCGAATTCCGAATGACATCATCAGGGGGGGCGGGGGCGGTCCATCTCCCCGAATTCAGAATGACATCATCAGGGGGGCGGGCGGTCCATCTCCCCGAATTCAGAATGACATCATCAGGGGGAATTCATCTCCCCGAATTCAGAATGACATCATCAGGGGGGGGGGGCGGTCCATCTCCCCGAATTCAGAATGACATCATCAGGGGGGCGGGCGGTCCATCTCCCCGAATTCAGAATGACATCATCAGGGGGGCGGGCGGTCCATCTCCCCGAATTCAGAATGACATCATCAGGGGGGGCGGGCGGTCCATCTCCCTGAATTCACAATGACATCATCAGGGGGGCGGGCGGTCCATCTCCCATGGCGCAGAGATATATAATGGGAGAAGATAGAATGTTCTCACTCACCTGTCTGGATAATGGAGGAGATCCCGGGGTCACTGTGTGAACGGACTACGAATCGCGGCACCTGATTGGTGCACAGTGCTTTAGGCCGCGTGTTCTCGCTGTATCGGCGGTGGGGGCAGTCCGGAGTCTGGCAGGGGGAGGAGTGGTGGAGGGAACACCCGGAACTTCGGCTTAGCTCCCGCGCACGAGGGACTTTCCCGTTTACCCGCAGCTCAGGGAAACACGGTCCAACCAACGTCCCGATGTTCTCCAGCCTGTTACAGCTACGTGTGGTGCCACTTCCCACAGTCGGCGGAGGGTCCTGGCAAGAGCTAGGTGTGGAACACGAGAAAGAGCGTCCTCCTTTCATCTGAGGAGCTGACACCTCCTCAAAGGGCCCCTGAAGGCTCAGGGTGGGGCTGTGCTGGTGATGGCCACACTGACCGCAGTCCACGCTCAAACAGTAGTCAGCTCGGCTACGCTGAATGGAGCGATACAAGACGTAGTCCACAGACCGCACCGAACCTTGGACATCCAGCAAGACAGAATCTTCCGAAGGGCTGCTGTCCTCTGCCAACAAAAAGAGAAGGACCTCCATCATCCAACACAGGAGGGGCATGGAGAACACCAGGACCACATCTCAGGAGACATGTTTCTACATTTCAGTACAAGCCAAACACTTTCATCACGTGACAATTGACCCAGAAGAGTCCACCAGCTGACCACCACCACCACTACTCCTGCTTCGCACCATCATCCACCCACCCTGCTGGCTAAACTTACTCTACCATCTCCATCATCTCATTATTACCACTAAACCTAGGCTGACGTGTCCATCATCTCCCCATTACTCTGTCTCCACCATCACCACTAAACCTAGCCTGATGTGTCCATCATCTCCCCATTACTCTGTCTCCACCATCCCACCATCCCCACTAAACCTAGTCCACTATCTCCACCATCATCACTAAGCCTAGTCTACCATCTCCATCATCTCCCCAATTACTCTGTCTACACCATCCCACCATCCCCACTAAACCTAGCCTGACATGTCCATCATCTCCCCATTACTCTGTCCACCCCACCATCCCATAAACCATCACCACTAAACCTAGTCTACCATCTCCATCATCTCCCCATTACTCTGTCTACCCCCACCATCCCACCATCCCCACTAAACCTAGTCTACCATCTCCATCATCTCATTATTATCACTAAACCTAGCCTGACGTGTCCATCATCTCCCCATTACTCTGTCTCCACCATCCACCATCCCCACTAAACCATCACCACTAAACCTAGTCTACCATCTCCATCATCTCCCCATTACTCTGTCTACACCATCCCACCATCCCCACTAAACCTAGCCTGACATGTCCATCATCTCCCCATTACTCTGTCTCCACCATCCCACCATCACCACTAAACCTAGTCTACCATCCCATCATCATCCCCATTACTCTGTCCACACCATCCCACCATCAGCACTAAACCTAGTCTCTACTATCTCCACCATCACCACTAAGCCTAGTCTACCATCTCCATCATCTCCCCATTACTCTGTCTACCCCATCCCACCATCCCCACTAAACCTAGTCTACTATCTCCTCAGTCCCACCATCACCACTAAACCTAGTCTACTGTCTCCACCATCCCACCATCACCACTAAACCTAGTCTACTATCTCCACCATCCCACCATCACCACTAAACCTAATCTACTATCTCCACCATCCCACCATCACCACTAAACCTAGTCTACTATCTCCACCATCCCACCATCACCACTAAACCTAGTCTACTATCTCCACCATCCCACCATCACCACTAAACCTAGTCTACTACTCCTCAGTCCCACCATCACCACTAAACCTAGTCTACTGTCTCCACCATCCCACCATCACCACTAAACCTAATCTACTATCTCCACCATCCCACCATTACACACTAAACCTAATCTACTATCTCCACCATCCCACCATCACCACTAAACCTAGTCTACTATCTCCTCAGTCCCACATCACCACTAAACCTAGCCTACTCACCACTAAACCTAGCCTACTGTCTCCACCATCCCACCATCACCACTAAACGTAATCTACTATCTCCACCATCCCACCATCACCACTAAACCTAGTCTACTATCTATCTCCACCATCCCACCATCACCACCAAAACCTAGTCTACTATCTCCACCATCACCACTAAACCTAGTCTACTATCTCCACCATCCCACCATCACCACTAAACCTAGTCTACTATCTCCACCATCCCACCATCACCACTAAACCTAGTCTACCACTGTCTCCACCATCACCACCAAACCTAATCTACTATCTCCAACATCCCACCATTACTGCTAAATCTAGTCTACTGTCTACTCCACCATCCCACCATCACCACTAAACCTAGTCTACTATCTCCACCATCCCACCATCACCACTAAACCTAATCTACTATCTCCAACATCCCACCATTACTGCTAAACCTAGTCTACTATCTCCCCAGGACCACCATTACTTCTAAGCCTAGTCTACTATCTCCACCATTCCTGATACGTCTAGTCCACCATCTCACCATTCCCGCTGTGTCCAGTGGAGTCCCTCCGGTCAGATGCACTGTGCATGGAATTCTGGTGGGCCTGGGCATCATACAAAGTGGCCTGTAGAAATGAAAGAGTCCATATAATTTCACCAAACGAATAGCCTAGAGGAGCAGTAGATGAATGCCGAGCTCCTACCTGGCTGTCCTCCCGAAGGCCCATAACACTCTCGTAGGAGGGTGGGAAGTCTGTGGGGTAGAGCGGGATGGGGCTGTCCATGGAGCCATTGTAGGTGATGCTGCAAACACATAGAAGGGTGGTTGGCGCACACTTCCAGAGACTTCACATTCCAGAGCTCTATAAATGAAGGTATCTCTCTTTCCAAAACCAATAGTTCAATTATGTGTGGATGCTGGTGAGCGAAATCACCCATTGGTGGCTCCAGCAATGAGATCTCCAACCCACCTGCTGCAGTAATTACAAACCCGAGCGTGCAGTTCATGCCCATTACAGCAGGAGAAGTGAGACTTCACAGGGGTCAGTACTCTGGTGGTAAATCTCAATACTGGGTTTCTAAGGAGATGAATGAATTCCCTGGGTGACCCAACACACCAACATCCACCCATGGTTGAAATGTCAGACGTGACCAGACGGATGGAGCTTCCTACAAAATGAAGCTTTCTGTGGAGACCTCTTCATGGGGCCTTCATCTCTCCTCATTGATTGGATCCGTGAGATGTTCATTCCTGGGTAGAGGATAGTCAGCTCGGTCTTATGACCTCCAGCGCCACGTCTAAACTTCTAGAACAAGATCTGGTAACACATGGGGGTGTGGTGATGTGAGCGAAGATTTGACACCTTTCTACATCAAACAGGACTGGAGGGTTGGCAGCAGGGGCGGACTGACCATTCAGGCACTAGGGCACTGCCCGAGGGCCCAAGGTCAGTAGGGGGCCTCATGAGATGCCCCTAGTACCTTTCATAGGGTTTTTTGGGTGTGGTTTCGTGTGGGTGGGGACACAGGGGCCCCATGATCCCCTATTGCCTGGAGGCCCCATGGCTTGTCAGTCCGCCCCTGGTTGGCAGTGTCTGATGGCCTGCACAGAAAACGAGGAGTACGTGAGAAGTCCAAGGTGTGAGCAGAGGAGGAACACACAACTGGGCCAAGCTGAAGGCCAATGCAGAGATCGAAGTAGCTGGAAGGTTCTGGAGGCCCTTGTATATTAGATTGAGGATTCCCAGTTTCATCTTAACTACCCGGTCTACACAGACAACCAAGAGGGTCCACTGACCAGCCGGGGTCACTTACCTCTGTGCGTCCGTCTCGGAGCTGCATGTATATTCTGGAGGGTAATATGGTGGAGGTGGCACTGGAGGAACAAACTCCTCACATTCGATCATGCTCTGCAGGATGGTGTCCTGGGGGGAGAAACACTCCAAGTGGATGGAGGTGGAGCGGTGAGGCGCCAGCTGCGAGAAACAGAAACGGTTATTGGTGTGGACGACCGGGAGAAGGGCCACCATGATGGAAGCTGGGCGTGTTCATGCGCAGTACGGGACTTACAACATGGATGACATCCAATGAGAAAATCTGAACGCAGCAGATGACAGCGGACAGGGTGCAGATGATGGTGGAGAAGATGGTGAGGCCACAAACACTAAACAAGAGGTCCTACAACACACAGAGAGGTAAGTGAGAGGAACATACCGCCACGGGCAACTCACCCAGAGCAGGAGGCTGAGACCCGGGGTGGAGGCAACACGAGGGAGGGATCCCAAATATGGAGGGAAATACAGAGACTGGATGAGAATACAGAGGACACATAATACAAAACCCACATTTCTGTCATCTCCGGACTCCGGACTCCATGACTAGAACCTTACCACATCAGAACCACAACTGACAGTTCTGTGAGGGACCCACCCACCAGGAGACACCAGAATAACACCAACCTATTGTCCTGGGAATCCTGGAAGCACCATGACTGTCCCTACCAGAGGAGAAGTACCCCAGTGCCATCCGACTGCCCCTCCCCATCCTGACTACCCCTACCAGAGGAGAAGTACCCCAGTGCCATCCGACTGCCCCCCTCCCCATCCTGACTACCCCTACCAGAGGAGAAGTACCCCAGTGCCATCCGACTGCCCCTCCCCCATCCTGACTACCCCTACCAGAGGAGAAGTACCCCAGTGCCATCCGACTGCCCCTCCCCATCCTGACTACTCCTACCAGAGGAGAAGTACCCCAGTGCCATCCGACTGCCCCTCCCCCCTCCCCACCCTGACTGTCCCTACCAGAGGAGAAGTACCCCAGTGCCATCCGACTGCCCCTTCCCATCCTGACTACCCCTACCAGAGGAGAAGTACCCCAGTGCCATCCGACTGCCCCTCCCCATCCTGACTACCCCCTACCAGAGGAGAAGTACCCCAGTGCCATCCGACTGCCCCTCCCCCTCCCCATCCTGACTACTCCTACCAGAGGAGAAGTACCCCAGTGCCATCCAACTGCCCCTCCCCCCTCCCCACCCTGACTGTCCCTACCAGAGGAGAAGTACCCCAGTGCCATCCGACTGCCCCTCCCCACCCTGACTGGCCCTACCAGAGGAGAAGTACCCCAGTGCCATCCGACTGCCCCTCCCCCTCCCCACCCTGACTGTCCCTACCAGAGGAGAAGTACCCCAGTGCCATCCGACTGCCCCTCCCCACCCTGACTGGCCCTACCAGAGGAGAAGTACCCCAGTGCCATCCGACTGCCCCTCCCCATCCTGACTACCCCTACCAGAGGAGAAGTACCCCAGTGCCATCCGACTGCCCCTCCCCATCCTGACTGGCCCTACCAGAGGAGAAGTACCCCAGTGCCATCCGACTGCCCCTCCCCCCCTCCCCACCCTGACTGTCCCTACCAGAGGAGAAGTACCCCAGTGCCATCCGACTGCCCCTCCCCCTCCCCATCCTGACTCCCTGACCACTTGTCTCCACCCTTAATATGTTCAGCTAGACAGAAAAAAATGATCTCCCACCCACCTACCTACCTACTTCCATCCTCTCCCCATCTCTTACCACCTACCTACATCTTCTTCATATTCCCTACCCCCATCCTTCCTCCATCACCTACCTCCATCCTCTCTACATTCTCCACTAACTACCTCCATCCTCTCTAAACCTCCCAATACCACCTACCTCCATCCTCTCTCCAACCCACACCACCTACCTCCACCTCTACCATCCCCAACACCTACCTCTATCCTCTACCATCCCCACCACCTACCTCCATCCTCTCCCCATCCCACACCACCTACTTCTATCCTCTACCATCCCCACCACCTACCTCCATCCTCTCCCCATCATTCACTAACTACCTCCATCCTCTCTCCAACCCACACCACCTACCTCTGCCTCTACCATCCCCACCACTTACCTCCATCCTCTCCCCCCATCATTCACCAACTACCTCCATCCTCTCTACAACCCACACCACCTACCTCCGCCTCTACCATCCCCACCACCTACCTCCGCCTCTACCATCCCCACCACCTACTTCCATCCTCTGTCCAACCCACACCACCTACCTCCACCTCTACCATCCCCAACACCAACCTCTATCCTCTACCATCCCCATCACCTACTTCCATCCTCTCTCCATCCCACACCACCTACCTCCGCCTCTACCATCCCCACCACCTACCTCCATTCTCTCCCTATCGTCCACCACCTACTTCGATCCGTTCCTGATCCTCCAGCACCTAACTCTGTCCTCCCCCATCCTCTACCACTTACCTGCACTTACTTTCAATACACATCCAGCCTCCACCTTGTATTCTACCTGCCCCACTCCTCCCACCAGGGACAGTAGCATGCCAGAGAGATGGTAAGTCACCTTCAGTGCGGTGCGGATGCTGTCACATTGGTGGTTGGGGTACAGGGTGAGTTTCTCCAGTTCCCCACAGTCAGATGGCGCCTCCGGCTGGATGGCGGGGTGGCAGCAGATGCACCAGTTGTTCTCCTATGGGTGAGAGACAGATCAGGTCAGGTGAGTGTGAAGGGGTGCCGGGCACCACCACCATCTTGGTGCACACTTACCTTCTTACAGGAGTTGAAGGATTTCACTAGCTGCCCATTCTGGCAGGACAGGATTGACCCTGCGAGGCTCAGCATGACACTCAGGGCGCTCAGCAAGGTGAACACTGTGACCTGCAACACATACATCAGTACTGAGTATAGCTGGACGCACCCAGAATCATGGGACCAAAGCGATACAAGAACTGGACCCCAAACTCTGCTGCTGCTGAGCTACACCCCCCCCTGGGCACCTTCTGAGCCTTCCTGTCTATAGGTACGCCGGCCGTGTTCTGTAAAGTCATAGAGAGACACAATTGTGGAAAGAGCCTGAAATTGTCCTCACCTGGATCTAAGCAAATGATGGAGTATGCGGGCGACCTACCTTCCAAATATAAAAATGGTGCCATTGTCTGAACTCATAACTCCTCCTTCCTCTGACTTCTGTAGCTCAATTCCCTTCTTGTGAAGCAATAGAATGGTAGAAAATCTTCAGGGAGGTTTCGGCCATCCATAGTCAATGAGGAGCTACGTTGGTTTCACCTTCCCATGGAGGACAATGTTGTAGTCAGTTTCGTTTTGCCACCGGAAATATCTGCCTCCAGTAGAGATTTCTGCTCCTCCTTTCTCTACGCCCCCCGTCCCTCCCAACACACACCTATTATCATTTATTGGCCAATTACTGTCACCTCCTCTGTATGGTCCACCCTGCCCTGGCTAGTGAAACACCAGACTTCAGAATTCATCTTCTCATATTCCCCACCCAACCGCCTATCCATGTCCCAATACACTCTTAGGCAGCATGGACTGCTCCACTCGAAGCCACGGTTCAGCGTTTGGTGTGATGGCGGCCATGGTACTGGCCAAGAGCCTGCAGCCGCCTACATTCTCCACCCATCGTGCCCGAATCCCCCCCATCCTTCACCACCCACCATGCCAGAATGTGAACACTCCAACACCTGGGACACCCATCTCAGAGGAGAGCTGAACCCCCAAGTGTGAGGTATCCTGCCCAGAGTCCCGCGGTATGTGAATTCCGTTCAATAAAGGAACATTTTCTAAATATTTTAGGTCTTTAGTTGGCACATGTTTAAAAGGGCACCTCCTATATGACCCCCCCAGGGCAATCTATGCCCTTCCGTGAGGCCAGCACCCTATGTAGGCAGCAGGCTGTGGTCACCATGATGCTTATAGGTGAGGTGTCTTTTCTGGGTTCACCAGGGAGACACCTTCACCCTTCTGTGATGCTGCCATCAAGTACCGGCACCACTGTTCGGGGCCAAAGAGGTGAGGTGACCTCTTCCAGAGTCGCCCCCAGACGTCTACTCGGGGATTTGAACTCTCGGCCCCATCATGCGGTCAGCCCTCTTTGTGGGCCATTAGTCCTCTAAATCTCCTCACACTGGACAAAGTGATGATCCTCCTATTTCTCCAGGACTGAGGCTGGTGGAATTATAAAATGGTTTGGACCTACGGCACCTTCTGACCATCTGAAGTACTTCGCTCCCAGCCATCGTATCCTAGCACAACACATCATTCTCATTTGTGGAAAGTAAAATTACAACATCTAGAATAAAGAAGCCACCAGATCCTCTCCACAACCTTTGCAGAATATCCCCCAATGTACAGAATTCATCTGCAGGGACTTTCCCCGTCAGATCATTGGACGATCCCTCTGCTGAGGCTCCCCTCCATGGAAATCCTACTTCTTCCACCGCCTTGCAGCCTGTAATACCTCAAACTGACCATCAACATGAGACCCTCTAATACTCATCCATACAATGTCCTCCCCATCCCATGTACTCACCATCAGCGTGAAGGGCTTCTTCCATGAGATGCAGCCGATGAGGCCTGAAACAGCCAGCTGAGCGGGAGGAGAGGGGAGAAGGCACAACCAGGGTGGAGATTTGGAGTGAAGGTTGGGACAGGCAGCAGAAGGGATTCAAATCAGGGTGAATTGGGTGACATGTTGGTGGAATTTAAGGGGATGAGGAACAGATGGAGGAGGGAAGCCAATACGGAAAAAAGCAGCCGAGGATGGGTGAGAAGATGGGTGGTGGTGGTTTGGAGTGGTCAGGGAGGATCATATGGAGGAAATTGATGGAGATTTAGAAAAGGGTCAAGCAAGCCAGAACACAGAAGGAACGAGGAGGAGGGCGGCCATCATGGAAAGGATGAGTGTGGGAAACCAGGAGGTGAAAGGTGGAAGAGATGAAGAAAGACATGAAATCAGGTTTAATACTTTGTCAGGTTTCTCTAAACTTTGGCACAACAACCATCGAGCTGACCTGACATGGTGCCAACATCGTCCTGCCTGGGGAACGTCTTCGAAAAATGAATACCATGGATACAGAAGACGTTCCCATATGTGATGTCCTCTCCCGGGACCACAAACCATCCCAGTCAGGTGGAGGCCAGTAAGGTCACCACAAACCGCCCCAGTCAGCTAGAGGCCAGTAAGGTAAGGTCACCACAAACTACCCCAGTCAGGTGGAGGCCAGTAAGATCACCATAAACTGCCCCAGCCAGGTGGAGGCCAGTGAGGTCACCATAAACTGCCCCAGTCAGGGTGGAGGCCAGTGAGGTCACCACAAAACGCCCCAGTCAGGTGGAGGCCAGTAAGGTCACCACAAACCGTCCCAGTCAGGTGGAGGCCAGTAAGGTCACCACAAAAAGCCCCAGTCAGGTGGAGGTGAGTTAGGTCACCACAAAAGGGCACCACAAACCGTCCCAGTCAGGTGGAGGCCAGTAAGGTCACCACAAAAAGCCCCAGTCAGGTGGAGGCCAGTAAGGTCACCACAAACCGTTCCAGTCAGCTCAGTCCAGTTCAAACCGTTCCAGTCAGCTCAGTCTAGTCCAGCTCAGTCCAGTCCAGTTCAGTCATGGAAGGGCACACAATGGGTCAAAGCCCATTGGCAGGCTTGTCTATTACACAACCAGCACCATGGTGAGCACAGTAAACCCAGAGGAACCAGTTGGCCGCCATCTTTCTGGTTGGTTGCTCTGGATTGCCTCTCTCAACATGTCCTCCTAGCTATTCCTAGCATCTTGAAGGCTACATTCCTGCATCTCCCTGTCTTCTACATCCAGCACTGGTTCTGTGGAGGTGGCAATGAGGACAGGGACAGGATGGGGGATTTGGAAGAATACAAATTAAATTTGGTTTGTGACAAATAATGGATTCCTACCAGCAGAAGATGCAGAAGACAATGAGTGCCGGTGGAGCAGACAGACATACAGTGCATAGAGACATTAGTGACCCCACCGACCCCCAACATGAGCCGCCATCGTCACTTACAGAGAATCCGGCCCAGGAAGGACACGAATGTTTGATCTTCAGATTCGGAGTGATGGAAGCTGTGACCAAGCTGAAGGTGACAATCAGCACCCCAAGAATGACCTGGACGAAACCTAAGGCCAGCAGGACATGCGACCAAGCCCGGTGGATCCTCAGTTGGGATAGACTGCGGGAGGTCCGACCAGTCAGCGAAAAACTGGAATCCGATGGGGAGGGCATAGCGAGGGTGGAAACGTAGGAGGCTAGAACTCCAAGGGTAGCGTTCATCAGTAAGAGACCCCCAATCCAGCATAACAGGGAGGGGGGTTCACATCAAACCTCTAATTCATGTCGGATCACATCTTCAGCGCACCAACCCCTGGGGGGGGGGAGGTGAGATCGGGATTTAACCCTCAGTGGAGGAGGTGAGATCGGGATTTAACCCTCAGTGGAGGAGGTGAGATCGGGATTTAACCCTCAGTAGATGTTTTACCCTCAGCAGAGTCATCGTATTCTCAATTGACAAACAGGATTATAAATATTTAAGCGGTTTTGCTGGAATTTTCGGCACCAGAGATAAAAGAAACAGTCAGCCGAGGAGGACACTGGTCATGACCAATTCCACCAGAATTAGAACGTGAGGCCCAAGCAGGACGTGAAGAATGGCAATTATCTAGCAATGGTGGACGGGTGTTGAGTTTTGGCAGAGCTACAGCCAACAGACGCTACAGGGAAACGGGAGCCATTGTCAGATCCACATCATTCTACATGGTGAGAGGTCCAAGGACAGAATTTATTTCAGCTTTTCCCACCAGCTGGTTCTCCAAAGTCCTCAACACTCCTCATTACTGGAATGACAGAAGCTTCCTCCTGTATGTTTGGCTCACATCAAAAACCAAGTGGGAAGAAGAGGTCAGGTTCTCCAAGCTTGGCACGGCCGGAAGATGGCAGCCTAGACGTTTGGACAAGAGAGATGGATTAAACACTGAGGAGGTACAAATCATGATGAGGGGACAAGATGTAGAAGATGGAGAGATGAGGACGGTTGGATGGAAGGTCCATGGATGATGGTGGAACAATGATGTTGGAATGAAGTTCTGGAGGGTGAGGAGGTTGATGAAATGATTTCAGTGTTCAGATGGTGGTATGATCAGAATACCGGGGAGACGTCCATGTGGGGACGACATACATGATCAGATAACGAGGGTTTGGAAGTGTCTACTGACATGCTTAGCAGGATGTAAAGGAAAATTGTGGAATTGTCTGACCTTTTGTCTTTCCTATCGACCTCCATGAGAGCTCCACATGGAACAGTTCTCCAGCATGCAGTACTCCATGGTGGTCCTGGGTCCCTTTCTGCTCAGGAGACCGTCGGCCATCTATCTCAGGTGGGATTGGATCTCCAGTCCAAAGCGGGGGAACAGCATAGAGCTGCAGCAGACAAGGGAGCTCCAGTTTGGCTTCAGCCAGGAGTCTTGGAAAGGGTAAAACTGATGAACAACACAGAAATATCCGTCTGCTTCGAGAGGATGGAGATCATCCAACTCCCAAGGATAGGGATCATCAAACTCCAGAGGATGCAATCATCTAGTTCCAGAGGATGGAGATCATAAACTCCAGAGGATGGGAAAATCTAGCTCCAGAGGATGGAGATCATCTAATTCCAGAGGATGGACATCATCTAATTCCAGGACATCATCTAATTCCAGAGGATGGAGATCATCTAATTCCAGAGGATGGAGATCATCTAATTCAGAGGTCAGAGATCATCTAATTCCAGAGGATGGAGATCATCTAATTCCAGAGGATGGAGATTATCTAATTCCAGAGGATGGAGATCATCTAATTCCAGAGGATGGAGATCATGTAACTT